AGCCAGTAATTACCACTAGCATCATCACGTGACAGTCAGTAATTACCACTAGCATCATCACGTGACAGCCAGTAATTACAACTTGCATCATCACGTGACAGCCAGTAATTACCACTAGCATCATCACGTGACAGTCAGTAATTACCACTAGCATCATCACGTGACAGCCAGTAATTACCACTAGCATCATCAGGTGACAGTCAGTAATTACCACTAGCATCATCACGTGACAGTCAGTAATTACCACTAGCATCATCACGTGACAGTCAGTAATTACCACTAGCATCATCACGTGGCAGTCAGTAATTACCACAAGCATCATCACGTGACAGTCAGTAATTACCACTAGCATCATCACGTGACAGTCAGTAATTACAACAAGCATCATCACGTGACAGTCAGTAATTACCACTAGCATCATCACGTGACAGTCAGTAATTACAACTAGCATCATCAGGTGACAGCCAGTAATTACCACTAGCATCATCACGTGACAGACAGTAATTACCACTAGCATCATCACGTGACAGCCAGTAATTACCACTAGCATCATCACGTGACAGCCAGTAATTACCACTAGCATCATCACGTGACAGCCAGTAATTACCACTAGCATCATCACGTGACAGCCAGTAATTACCACTAGCATCATCACGTGACAGCCAGTATTACCACTAGCATCATCACGTGACAGTCAGTAATTACCACTAGCATCATCACCTGACAGCCAGTAATTACCACTAGCATCATCACGTGACAGTCAGTAATTACCACTAGCATCATCACGTGACAGCCAGTAATTACCACTAGCATCATCACGTGACAGTCAGTAATTACCACTAGCATCATCACATGACAGTCAGTAATTACCACTAGCATCATCACGTGACAGTCAGTAATTACCACTAGCATCATCACGTGACAGCCAGTAATTACCACTAGCATCATCACGTGACAGTCAGTAATTACCACTAGCATCATCACGTGACAGCCAGTAATTACAACTCGCATCATCACGTGACAGCCAGTAATTACCACTAGCATCATCACGTGACAGCCAGTAATTACCACTAGCATCATCACGTGACTGTTAGTAATTACCACTAGCATCATCACGTGACAGCCAGTAATTACCACTAGCATCATCACGTGACAGTCAGTAATTACCACTAGCATCATCACGTGACAGTCAGTAATTACCACTAGCATATTCAGGTGACAGACAGTAATTACAACTAGCATCATCACGTGACAGTCAGTAATTACCACTAGCATCATCAGGTGACAGTCAGTAATTACCACTAGCATCATCACGTGACAGTCAGTAATTACAACTAGCATCATCAGGCGACAGCCAGTAATTACCACTAGCATCATCACGTGACAGACAGTAATTACCACTAGCATCATCACGTGACAGCCAGTAATTACCACTAGCATCATCACGTGACAGCCAGTAATTACCACTAGCATCATCACGTGACAGCCAGTAATTACCACTAGCATCATTACGTGACAGCCAGTAATTACCACTAGCATCATCACGTGACAGTCAGTAATTACCACTAGCATCATCACGTGACAGCCAGTAATTACCACTAGCATCATCACGTGACAGTCAGTAATTACCACTAGCATCATCACGTGACAGCCAGTAATTACCACTAGCATCATCACGTGACAGTCAGTAATTACCACTAGCATCATCACATGACAGTCAGTAATTACCACTAGCATCATCACGTGACAGTCAGTAATTACCACTAGCATCATCACGTGACAGCCAGTAATTACCACTAGCATCATCACGTGACAGTCAGTAATTACCACTAGCATCATCACGTGACAGCCAGTAATTACAACTCGCATCATCACGTGACAGCCAGTAATTACCACTAGCATCATCACGTGACAGTTAGTAATTACCACTAGCATCATCACGTGACAGCCAGTAATTACCACTAGCATCATCACGTGACAGTCAGTAATTACCACTAGCATCATCACGTGACAGTCAGTAATTACCACTAGCATCATCAGGTGACAGACAGTAATTACAACTAGCATCATCACGTGACAGTCAGTAATTACCACTAGCATCATCAGGTGACAGTCAGTAATTACCACTAGCATCATCACGTGACAGTCAGTAATTACAACTAGCATCATCACGTGACAGTCAGTAATTACCACTAGCATCATCACGTGACAGCCAGTAATTACCACTAGCATCATCACGTGACAGCCAGTAATTACCACTAGCATCATCACGTGACAGTCAGTAATTACCACTAGCATCATCACGTGACAGCCAGTAATTACCACTAGCATCATCACGTGACAGTCAGTAATTACCACTAGCATCATCACGTGACAGCCAGTAATTACAACTTGCATCATCACGTGACAGCCAGTAATTACCACTAGCATCATCACGTGACAGTCAGTAATTACCACTAGCATCATCACGTGACAGCCAGTAATTACCACTAGCATCATCAGGTGACAGTCAGTAATTACCACTAGCATCATCACGTGACAGTCAGTAATTACCACTAGCATCATCACGTGGCAGTCAGTAATTACCACAAGCATCATCACGTGACAGTCAGTAATTACCACAAGCATCATCACGTGACAGCCAGTAATTACCACTAGCATCATCACGTGACAGTCAGTAATTACCACTAGCATCATCACGTGACAGCCAGTAATTACAACTCGCATCATCACGTGACAGCCAGTAATTACCACTAGCATCATCACGTGACAGTTAGTAATTACCACTAGCATCATCACGTGACAGCCAGTAATTACCACTAGCATCATCACGTGACAGTCAGTAATTACCACTAGCATCATCACGTGACAGTCAGTAATTACCACTAGCATCATCAGGTGACAGACAGTAATTACAACTAGCATCATCACGTGACAGTCAGTAATTACCACTAGCATCATCAGGTGACAGTCAGTAATTACCACTAGCATCATCACGTGACAGTCAGTAATTACAACTAGCATCATCACGTGACAGTCAGTAATTACCACTAGCATCATCACGTGACAGCCAGTAATTACCACTAGCATCATCACGTGACAGCCAGTAATTACCACTAGCATCATCACGTGACAGTCAGTAATTACCACTAGCATCATCACGTGACAGCCAGTAATTACCACTAGCATCATCACGTGACAGTCAGTAATTACCACTAGCATCATCACGTGACAGCCAGTAATTACAACTTGCATCATCACGTGACAGCCAGTAATTACCACTAGCATCATCACGTGACAGTCAGTAATTACCACTAGCATCATCACGTGACAGCCAGTAATTACCACTAGCATCATCAGGTGACAGTCAGTAATTACCACTAGCATCATCACGTGACAGTCAGTAATTACCACTAGCATCATCACGTGGCAGTCAGTAATTACCACAAGCATCATCACGTGACAGTCAGTAATTACCACTAGCATCATCACGTGACAGTCAGTAATTACAACTAGCATCATCACGTGACAGTCAGTAATTACCACTAGCATCATCACGTGACAGTCAGTAATTACAACTAGCATCATCAGGTGACAGCCAGTAATTACCACTAGCATCATCACGTGACAGACAGTAATTACCACTAGCATCATCACGTGACAGCCAGTAATTACCACTAGCATCATCACGTGACAGCCAGTAATTACCACTAGCATCATCACGTGACAGCCAGTAATTACCACTAGCATCATCACGTGACAGCCAGTAATTACCACTAGCATCATCACGTGACAGTCAGTAATTACCACTAGCATCATCACGTGACAGCCAGTAATTACCACTAGCATCATCACGTAACAGTCAGTAATTACCACTAGCATCATCACGTGACAGCCAGTAATTACCACTAGCATCATCACGTGACAGTCAGTAATTACCACTAGCATCATCACGTGACAGCCAGTAATTACCACTAGCATCATCACGTGACAGTCAGTAATTACAACTATCATCATCAGTCAGTAATTACCACTAGCATCATCACGTGACAGTCAGTAATTACAACTAGCATCATCACGTGACAGTCAGTAATTACCACTAGTATCATCACGTGACAGCCAGTAATTACAACTAGCATCATCACGTGACAGTCAGTAATTACCACTAGCATCATCACGTGACAGCCAGTAATTACCACTAGCATCATCACGTGACAGCCAGTAATTACCACTAGCATCATCACGTGACAGTCAGTAATTACCACTAGCATCATCACGTGACAGCCAGTAATTACCACTAGCATCATCAAGCGACAGCCAGTAATTACCACTAGCATCATCAGTTGACAGTCAGTAATTACAACTAGCATCATCAGGCGACAGCCAGTAATTACCACTAGCATCATCAGGTGACAGCCAGTAATTACCACTAGCATCATCAGGCGACAGCCAGTAATTACCACTAGCATCATCAGGTGACAGTCAGTAATTACAACTAGCATCATCAGGCGACAGCCAGTAATTACCACTAGCATCATCAGGTGACAGTCAGTAATTACAACTAGCATCATCAGGCGACAGCCAGTAATTACCACTAGCATCATCAGGTGACAGCCAGTAATTACCACTAGCATCATCAGGCGACAGCCAGTAATTACCACTAGCATCATCAGATGACAGCCAGAGTTTGTGGAGAAATCCTCCTCCTGTTTCGTCCGCGATTGCCTCCGTTTTAAACTGACTCCGCATCGCATTGCCCCGACTGACAGGTGACGACACCGCTCAGCGTCACGACGGGGTTTGTGAAGCGATCCCAGCACCGCCAGAGCGATCTCTCTCTCTCTCTCGCTGTGTCGGGCGCTCAAGAGGTCGACGAGTCGCAATATTTGGTGGGGGTGGAGTGGGAGCGGTAGGGCGTGGGTGGACAGCCACTCGCCCCACTCGCCCGCCCGCGTCTCTCCCACCCGGTGCCCACTCCGTCCCGTCACTTCGCGTCTCCGTCAGTCTGTCGAGGCCGCCGTCGCGACTTGTCACATGGTTTATGGTTTCCCTCGTATCATCCGTGGGAGTCGTTGCTTCCATTTCGGAGGCGCCTGTCAGGATCAGCGCGATGGCTGCTGTCGTCGGTGTTGTTCTCGTCGTGGTTGCTCTTGTTGCTGCTGGTGTTTTGTTATGTTTTGAATGTCTACTCTCCTGGATTATTTTAAAGCTATAATTTTACTTTTAGTTACATGTAATATTTTTAAGTTTTCATTTTAACGGGTTTTTTTGTCAATCGGGATAATACGCAGCAGCAGCAGCAGCAGCATCGGTCCCCTTCCTAGGCAGCACCCTCCTGACAAAACGAGTCTTGAGACCCAAGTCAGGATTTCCCGGGCAAACGAGCGAAAGTAACGACCGCAGTGATATTCCGGCGAAGAATTCTCGACGTGAAAAACATCTTCGGTGGCAGCTTCACGGATCACTTCATCCTGGTGCTGCCTACCGCGACGGAGGGACCGCTGGGTCGGTCCACCCCCTTCTCGATCACAGCCGGAGCTTCGCTCGACGCCGCAAATACGAATTGAAGGCGAGAGATGGAGGCGAGAGTTCTGCGGTGCGGCCGAAGTCACGAAACGAGCGTCTCTCTCAACCGTGGAACCTCACCCGGTTTCACCGTCCCACGCCGACAATGGGTCGGCCATCAACCGAATCGGGAGCCGGGCCACGTGGCTGATGCGGCAACGCGATGCCACGAATGGCGCCTTCTAAGAACCATCGACCCGCACATCGTAAACGCTCCGCCGCCACCGCCGCCGCCTTCACTCCTTTGAAAAAGGAACGGACGATGATCAACGCTGCTTCTGGACAGACAATTGAGTGGATAACGACGTCTAAAATTACATCTTGAATCTGCTGCTATGGTGATGGTGGCGGTGACGTCGCTGTCACGTGGTTGCCTACGTAGAGATTTGTATCACTACTTCACCTGGTGTAGGCCAATCAGTTCCAAAGATAAAGCAAACATCATCAACGTTTTGATTTAAAGCTTTCGTGACTGCAGTGATTCATATTCTTGGTTGTTTCGGTAAAGTCACGTAGAAGGGAAATAATAAAATAATACAAACATAAAACAATAAAAATGCTCACGATGTTTCGACTGCAACACAAGCAATCGTCATCAGGTGTGAAATCCACACATTTTCTTGCTGTGGATTTCACACCTGATGATGGTTGCTTGTGTTGCAGTCGAAACGTCGTGATAATTTTTATTGTTTTATATTTGGATTATTTTATTACTTCCCTTCTACGTGACTTTACCGAAAGAACCAAGAATATCATCAACGTTTGTTTGCATGTCCACCAGAAGTACTGTGTGTGGTTAACGCAGACTTGATTCCTTACAAAATGTTTCTATTTGGTGTTTGAACATCTGAACACCTCCTGTTTTAAACTTGATTTAGAGCTTTCGTGACTGCAAGAATTACTCGTTGGTTTTTTCGGTAAAGTCACGTAGCAATTAATTTGTTTAATTTATTTTTCTTTCTACTTGACTTTACCGAAATAACCAAATAGTACCTCATGTTTTATTGCCAGTAAGGCTAACATCTATTATTGTTTGACATACTTTGATACGGGAAAAAAAGGTCCCGTGATGTAGCTGCTCACCCCGAGTTATGCATACTCTGATACGTTCATTGTCTTGATCTTGTTCACCTTTTTAAATCATTTATATTAAGTTCGCATGCTTGCTTGCGTGCTTGCTTGCTTACGACCGTGCAAATCTTTTGGTCGTTTTTTAACCCACTTCCCGTGATCCAATCGAGCTGACATTTTTCACACAGACTCGTTGTGCCAGACAATTAATGTTCGTGAAAAAAATTCCCAAAATTGTACACTTTTTAGGCAAAAAAAATATATTTTACATATATTCAAATAGAACGCATTCATGGCTTTGGCTGAACGTCATAGTGTAAGAGCCCAGAGCGTAACCCCTCCACAGGCCGTGGCGGAGTAGCGCAGTTGGTAGCGCCCTTGCTTCCCATGCCAAAGGTCGCGGGATCGATCCCCGCGTCCTCCACAGGCGAATATATTTTTAAATCCTTTATATTAAGTTCGCCGCCACGCATATAAAGGATTTATAGTGAAAAACTTTGTTTTTACGGGTTATACTTATTTGGCATTTTCTGGTCTGACACTGGTGAAACGAGGCCCTAAAGAAGGTTGTCTCTGGTGTAAAGCAATCAGTTTCAAAGACAATGCAAATATTATCAGACCATGTGGGTTTGCATGTTCACCACAAGTACTGTGTGGTTAATGCAGGACTTGATTCCTCGCAAAAGGTTTCTATTAGGTGTTTGAACATCTAAACACCTTGATTTAAAGCTTTCGTGACTGCAGGGATTCATATTCTTGGTTCTTTCGGTAAAGTCACGTAGAAGGGAAATAATAAAATAATATTAATATTTAAAACATTTTTATATTAATATTATTTTATTATTTCCCTTCTACGTGACTTTACCGAAAGAACCAAGAATATGAATATCTAAACACCTGTTTTATTTTTTCTTCTTCTTGGTTCTTTCGGTAAAGTCACGTAGAAGGGAAGTAATAAAATAATGAAAATAAAACATAATAAAATAAAATAATTCTCACGACGTTTCGGCTACAACGCAAGCAGCCGTCTTCAGGCTTTATTGCCAGAAAGGGTAAAACCGATTATACTTGTTTCATACAGTCTTGGGTGTTTATAATATTCTGACCCCATGGATCCCCCTACTTGACATCTGTGGATAAAAAGGAGCTTCATAGGTAATCGGATTCCTCCATTATAAATAAATAATTATCGATTCTGAACCTCGCGTGAAAACTACCATGAACATATCAAAATCGAAGTTAAGAGACCAACATCATCACACGTACGGTAGATAATCGATTATCACACCACTTCGGGGGGGGGGGAAGGGGTGGCCAGATTTTTTAAAACGACGGATAATCCACTCACCATAATTATTTGAAATAGCGTATCTTTGCACGTTCTTATAAACCATTATGTTTCAAGGTGTTGTGTGTACGCTTGGTTCAGTGTTTCCCGATTGGCAGAGTCGGCACGTGTGGTGTATGAAGGTTAACCACGTGGGGCGGGGGGGGGCGATGTTGCTGCTGATGTTGCTGCTGCGTTGGCAGCGGTGTCCAAACACACTTCGCAAAAACTCAAAACATTCACCAATGACACTGTGGTCTTAAAGGACAATACAAAGACAAAGATCCCCCGTGTAGCCTTAACAGACTGTTGGGGCAAGTGCTGTTCGCGAGGAGTAACCTATGAAGACCGGCACGGCACACGAGGGGGTGGGTGCACACCACCACTCCCGGCCGCCTTTGTTTCCCCAGTGGCGACGATTTGACAGACTGCACCAAGGCACTCATTTTATGCTGAGTCGACCTAAGGGAGGAAGCCCAGGACCGGTTCAGATAAATCATCACTGGTGTTGGAGGTGGACGTGAGCGGCAATCGAACTCGGCTCGCCGGGTTCGCAGCTCAGCACGCGAACCACAAGCACCACCCACCCCCCCGCCCCCCAACACACACAAAGTACAATACGCGACGTTTCGGGCAAGTGCCCTTCCTTATCGCGCTTCGGGATAACCGATGAACGGCCGCGGGTGGAGCGCGCGTGGTGGGGGGGGGGGGGGGTGTTGTGGGGGCCCCCACTGACCGGGCCGCTGGGCCCTGCTGTTGGCCTCCCCGCGGTCTGCGTGCGGCAGGGGCCCCGCCAGGCCGACGGGAGACGCCGCGGCAGAGCCCGGGCTGCACGGCGAGGGGCCTGAGGCGGGCGACTTGGGCCCCCGGGGGCTGTGGGTGGGCGTCAGGCCGGGAGAGGAGTGCTGAGATCCGTGCTGCTCTTCCTGGGCCAGCGCCTGCAACACGAGGGGGGGGGGGTCATCAGAGGGCTGCCACTGTGACTAGGAGATGTTAACTGCCTCGCCAGGTATGCGATAGGGCATGGGTTCGATCCCTGGACACTGACGCCTGCTGCTGTATATGTTGAGTTTGTGTCTCTCTCATCATCATCACGGTGACTAGGAGATGTTAACTGCCTCGCCTGGTATGCAGCAGGCATGGGTTCGATCCGTGGACCCTGACGCCTGCTGCTGTATATTTGGAGTTTGTGTGTCTCTCTCTCATCATCATCATCACAGTGGCTAGGAGATGTTAACTGCCTCGCCTGGTATGCAGCAGGGCATGGGTTCGATCCCTGGACACTGACGCCTGCTGCTGTATATGTTGTGTCTCTCTCTCTCTCTCATCATCATCACGGTGGCTAGGAGATGTTAACTGCCTCGCCTGGTCTACAGGAGGTCGTGGGTTCGATCCCTGGACACTGACGCCTGCTGTTGTATATTTGGAGTTTGTGTCTCTCTCTCTCATCATCATCATCATCACGGTGGCTAGGAGATGTTAATTGCCTCGCCTGGTATGCAGCAGGCATGGGTTCGATCTCTGGACCCCGACGCCTGCTGCTGTATATGTTGAGTTTGTGTCTCTCTCTCTCATCATCATCACGGTGGCTAGGAGATGTTAACTGCCTCGCCAGGTATGGAGGAGGTCGTGGGTTCGATCCCGACCCTGACGCCTGCTGCTGTATATTTAGAGTTTGCGGTGCCTCTACCTCTCTTTCTCTCTCCGTGGTCGCGTGGATTTTTCTGCGGGTCTTCCAGTTTTAGTCTCCACGTTTAGAATTCTAGTGAGATTCAGATACTTTATATTTAGAGGCTCAGATGTTCTCTATGCGGAGACTCTAAATTCAGAGACTCTCTATTCAGACTCAGATATTCTCTCTTTCAGTGACTCAGAACCTCTCTATTCAGAGACTCAAATATTATTGATTCAGAGACTCAAAACCTCTCTATTCAGAGACTCAGAAATGATCGATTCAGAGACTCAGGCACCGCCACAGCAACTCATAAATCCATAAAGAGACTCTTCATTCAGAAATTCAGAGAAACACGGAGACACTTTCCACTTAGAGACTCAGATACCTCCCCAGAGACTCAGCGAGACCCAGACAGACACCGAAAGACTCAGAGAGACTCAACGAAACTCGCAGAGCCTCGGCGAAACGTCGAGAGACTCGGTGAAACTCGGAGACTCGACGAGACACAGGCAGACTCAAGAGATGCATCGAGACTCGGCGAAGCACGGAGATACACAGTGAGACTCAGAGAGAGAGAGAGGGAGACTCAGAGAACTCCCCCTCGCACACCACCGTCACCCTGCCTGTGTGTGAGCTCCTCTCTGCTATACACGGCACCCCCCCCCCCCCCAATCTCCCACCTGGAAGGGAGCCCCCCCTGGGCTCGATCCGCGTCCCAGCAGTAGCAGTGCGTCCTTGATGCAGGCGCGGCAGGCGCTGTGCTGGCACGGCAGCAGGAGCGGCGTCGCGTACAGCTCCTTGCACATGGGGCACGTGAGCTCCCGCTCGATCGCCTTCAGAGGGACCTGCCGAGGAAGAAGGGTGATGATGAGAAGCCGCGGTGGCTAGGAGATGTTGACTACCTCGCCTGGTATACAGGAGGTCGTGGGTTCGATCCCGACCCTGACGCCTGCTGAACATTTGGAGTTTGCGTGTCTCTCTCTCTCTCTCTCATCATCATCACGGTGGCTAGGAGATGTTAACTACCTCGCCAGATATACAGGAGTTCGTGGGTTAGATCCCGACCCTGACGACCCCTGTATATGTGTATGCATGTTCAACTTATTTCGCGCCGTACGCAGCCAGCCGTGCTAATCGGAGGTGCGGGAATATTTGGAATATATTTGGAGTTTGCGGTGTCCCTCTCTCTCCCCGTGGTCGCGTGGATTTTTCTCCGGGTCCTCCGGTTTTTCCCTCCACATTCAGAATCACCGTCTCACGTGATGATGATGATGATAAGCCACTTTGATGAGCTGTCATTTGTGGCCCGGTCGCTTCTGAAAAATAGCTGTATAGCTCAGTGGGCCATACCTGGTAAAATAATAAAATACAAAGTTTATAGTGCAACCTGCTGATGAATGACGATCACGCCGCCCCCCATCGAAGCCTCGCGTTTTTACAGCGCCAATGAAGCCAATGGGTGGAAATTCCACGTTCACATTTTGATTGCAGAACGAATACATCTCGTGTATCGTCGCACTCATGACACACAAAGTTCTCGCCACAAGCGAGCCACCACAACACCCTCGCTGATCTCGTCAGGGAGCATGAACCCATCATCACGCCAACTCCGCTAATCCCTCGCAAGCAGCAGCGGCGGCGGCGGCTTTTGGCTGCCCATCGAACATAGATGGTGCCAGCATCTGCGGCCGTCTGGAACGTTCTCTGTGGAGCTGCGCACTTAGATTGACGAACTCGTTTCTTTAGAACTGCTCTTTCTGTCCTTAGTTCGTTGTCCTTCGCCCGCGCACCTCCCATGAGCGCGGTCGGCAACGTACGGTGCTAAAGAAGTTAAACACAAGGTACACTTAAACATGGTGGTGGGTCGAGGGGTGGGGAGGGGGAGGGGCGGCCTTACGACAGCCAACTCGTGGTTGGCTCGCACGTTAAAGTGGTTACTCAAATTTATCGACCCCCTCCCACCCCGGCTTTCTGGATGATGGGTTGAGAGTCAACCCCGAGCCGGGATCTGAATTTGCAGCCTTCCGGCCGTCACCGCCGCTGAGGCCAAATACCTCGACCCCGTGATGGGGCGTTCGTTCGTGAGCGAGGGACGCGCACTCGATGTGCCTCGTGTCCACCCCTCCTGTCGCATCAGTGCGGACAGGGGGAGACGGGGGACAGACTTTGACCTTTAAACAACTTTTATTGCCGTCAGCAGCAACATCATTGGAGGCGACTCCGATATGAAATACACAAAGTCACCAGCAAACAAATAAACGCTACAAATCCACGCGCTGTGGCGCTCAATGCACCACGCACAACACGAAAGAAAAGTCACGTGGTGGTGGTGGTGCCATCGCGCACGCCACGGCGACGAGCGAGCGCTTCAGAAGGTGAACACGAGGGTGCCGTCCACGCTGGTACAGAGACACAGAGAGAGAGAGGAGAGGCAGTCGAGGTGACTCGGTGGTTGGATTAAAAAATAAAAAATAAAAATCCGGCGCCTCGTTCGATGAGATCGCGACTACCGTACAAGTACAATAACAATTTTTTTTATTTAAAAATAAAACAATCATAAAAATAATTATTTTATTTTAAACAAAATAATTATTTTATTTCATTTTTCTACCTACGTGACTTTACCGAAAGAAACCAAAAACCAAAGAGAAACCAAAGAGTATGGATTCCTGCAGTCACGAAAGCTTCTAATCAAGACCAAAGAGATACATTTTTTGCAAGTAAGCAAGTACTGCATTACCCACACACACAGTGCTTGTGGTGAACACGCAAGTCAACGTGGCTCTGATAATATTCGCGTTGTGCGTGAAACTGATTGGCCGACACCATAGACAGCCTTCACTCTCCCCGGCCACAGACCGACTTTGCAAAATCAAACTCCGTGGAGACCCAGGCCTCATTTCTCAACAACAACAACAACAGACGACAGCGACGTTAAAGCACCCACGTGGGTTGTAGTTCAGCTGCCCCCCCCCCTCGCCATCAGCTGGTTAAAATTTTTGGAAATTGAGTTGAATCCAATTTGCATTTGAGGTCAGGGCTGGGTTTATTTTATTTTGCCAGCCCTGCGTCGCCCCTCCCAAGACGAAAAGCTTTGTCCTGCAGCAGGAGGCACGCGCACCGCACCCTCCCATCGCCCCCCCCCGTCTCCTCTCTGTCTCCCTCTTCACAGAACAATGCCACGTGTCCCTCACCCACCAACCCAACCCAACCCACCAAACCTACCACCCCACCCATCCAACCACCAACCCAACCACCCACCAATCCACCCACCCACCAACCCACCCACCCACCAACCCACCCACCAACCCACCCACCCACTAACCCACCCCCCCACCAATCCAACCCACCCACCCAACCACCCACCAACCCAACCACCCACCAACCCAACCACCCACCAACCCAACCACCAACCCACCCACCCACAAACCCAACCATCTACCAACCCAACCACCAACCCACCCACCCACAAACCCAACCATCCACCAACCCAACCACCCACCAACCCAACCACCTACCAACCAACCCACCCACCCACCCAACCACCAACCCACCCACCCACAAACCCAACCACCCACCAACCCAACCACCCAACCACCAACCCACCCAACCACCAACCCACCCACCCACAAACCCACCCACCCATCCAACCACCAACTCACCCACCCACAAACCCAACCACCCACCAACCCAACCACCCACCAACCCACCCACCCACCCAACCACCAACCCACCCACCCACCAACCCACCCACCTACAAACCCAACCACCAACCAACCCAACCACCCACCAACCCAACCACCAACCCACCAATCCAACCCACCAACCCCCACCAAATTGACTCCGATCTCCTCTCCTTAACCCAAATACACGCCGCTCCCAAAGCCTCGTTTCTAATCCGGATTAACCACTGAGCCATCGATCAATGAGCCCAGTGTATGGGTTTAAACATCCGACCACCCTCCCACCCCGACCCCATATACATCGCACACATGGCACCGTGCATTATTACGCTGTTCTGAAAACCTGATTCTGTTTGCTGATCTCTCTGCCATGAAGAAGGGTCATTCCCTAAACGTTACTTATTGTATATTTTATTATCTCTGTACTTTTAGTGATATTAGATGAATGTGTTGAGTTGTTGTTTGTGCATGTGCATCACTGCCAATGCAGTTTGATGAATGCAATGATGAGACAATGAAGGGACAATGATGGTACAATGATGATCCCCGTGTATTTGTTGTATGCATTTGTCACGAAGTACATATATTAAAATCAAACGTCATCAGCACGACACACGGCTCATATCATGCGTTGTTGCGTGGGTATCGACGATCCACAACTGATGCAAACGCAAAGACTCCGATTGAAACGGTGCTACTAATGAGTCAACGAGATGATTAACGAACCCAAAATAAAATAGAATCGATAAAATATTATCTCGATTCAAATAAACGACCCCGCCCTCTCGCCGGTGGGACCGTGATGCATCATCGCATCACCGGGCGTCGGTAAAAAATCGTTCCTTGCCATCAAACCACGAATTCATAAAAAAAAAAACGAAAAATGGACCATCCAACGTGTTTCTGCAAATATGAATTAATTGGTGGCCGCACAGACATTCATTCACTCATTCAATCGTCATTTCTTTCTCTTGAACCCCCCCCCCCCCCAAAGGGCATCATTTGTCCACGGTGACAAATATCATGCAATTGGATCTTAATGCCAAGTGGTGAAGGGTCAAGACTCCCACACCCCCCTCTCCACACTCACAGTCTCCCTCGTTAATTCTGCTGCCTGGACACATAGAGAGAGAGAGTGACTCACACAATAATAATTCAAAAAATTGTTGGCCCGCCATCGCTTCACACCACCACCACCACACACACACACAGAGTGAGAGAAGCACACAGGAGGAACGGGGGAGCGATGCCCGTGCTATGCGCACTTCGCAGGGCAGACCGGGTCGCGCGGCAACTGGGAGTGTGATTGAAGATGGGGCTGCGTGTGCGGTAGTGAGCAGCCAGACTTGCTTGTCGCTCCTTTAACCTTGCAAGCCGCGAGCGAGAAACAAAAATATATATAGCAAAGACAAAGATTCCCCCGTATAGACCGAGTAGACTGTTGGGGCAAGTGATGTTAGCGAGCATCTATGAAGGCCGGCACGGCATGCGAGGAGATGTGGGTGGCCGACACCACGCCGGCCGCCTTTGTCTCCCCAGTGGTGATGTTCACACACCGCATCAGGTACTCATTTGGGCTGAATAACCCACACACACACACAGACCCACACACACACAGACACACAGACACAGGCACCCAAATACAATGACAAAGATCCCCCGTATAGCCGAGGGGGGCCCCCATGACGAGTTCAGATAATTGTCATTGGTATTGGTGGCCGTGAACGGGAATCTAACTCGGACCGCCGGGTTCGTAGTGCAGCCCGCAAACCGCTACGTTACCGCTCCCCACGCATCATATATATGTGCAGCACACACACACACGCGCGCACACGTACTGCACCAGCGGGTGAACGCGCCAGTGAAATTCCACGTTTGTGCTTCCTTCACGCGAGAGAAAAAAAATATTAAATTGCGTCACGGGCATTGCTTGGGTGTGCACGCTAGCGCAGCGGGCAGGGTCACGCTCGGATAGGTCACCGCCATGCATAACAGGTGCTATAGGCCACGCGGCTCGCAGCGTCATCAATTGTTGTGCAGCACTTGGCGTGCGACCATCGCCTGCGGACGTCCGCGCCTTCACCAACTCGCACGCGACCGCCGTGGCAATGCACGGCGGTCGGAATGACCTCCACGATTCACCGCCAGAGAATGGGGGAGTGGGTCGTCATGCAGCAGTGGATAGACCAAAGCAACCTGCCCCGGGACCCGCCTAGACGCAGCAGACGGAACGAATACATTGGTGGCGCCGAGCGGAGGAATTAACACGGTTGGCGACGTACGGTGCGAAAGAAGTTCAGCATCCATGCATACAGCTGAGATGCGTCCGTACAAATAGCATTTTTCCTTTTTTCACCAACGTGAAAATAATATTTTTGGGACGATGACGATACGAGTTAACGCATTAACAGCATCGCCTTCAGCAAGCGCGCATGCATCCGTTTACCGCATTTTTGCATCGGCTAATAAAGCTGCGCACACAATTGTTTTTTTTTAAACATAACGATGATGCGTGCAGCGTTTTTTGTACGATTCTCGCGTTAGGCTGGGCGCGCGCGATAGAACGCGATCTGGTTTATAATGAACACGAGGAGGAGGAGGAGGAAACTTGGAAGTTGCAGCTCACCAACGCCCTCCTCCTTTGTGTGCGAATAACCAGAGGAGGCGAATGAAGCTACGGGAGACAAAGCCAACAAGCACATTCACGAGGCGCCACTACCACCACCACCACCACCACTTTAATAACCAGCACAAACACTACTACCATCTCTACCACTATCATTACCACCACCACTTTAATAACCAGCACAACCACTACTACCATCACTACCACTATCATTACCACCACCAATTTAATAACCAGCACAACCACTACTACTACCATCACTACCACTATCACCACCACCACTTTAATAACCAGAGGAGACAAATTAAGCTACGGGAGACAAAGCCAACAACCACATTCACGAGGCGCCACTGCTACCACCACCACTTTAATAACCAGCACAACTACTATCATTACCACCACTTTAATAACCAACACAACCACCACTACTACTACCATCACTACCACTATCACCACCACCACCACCACTTTAATAACCACCACGACCACAACCACTACTACTACCATCACTACCACTATCAGCACCACCACCACATTAATAACCACCACGAACACAACCACTACTACTACCACCACTACCACTATCACCACTACTTTAATAACCAGCACAACGACTACTACTACTACCATCACTACCAATATCACCACCGCTAATACCACCACAACTAACACCACTATCACCAAAACGTCACCACCACTTTAACCACCACCACCAACACCACTACGAGTACTACAACCATCACTACCACTACAACCACCGCTAATACCATCACTGCCACCACCACTACCACCACTATCACCATCAACACCCACTGTCATGATCATCATCACCACCACCAACACCATTAGCACGCCCACCACTATTGCCACCAAAAGACAAATACCCCCATATAGCCTTCAACAGACTGTTAGGGCAAGTGCAGTTTGCGAGCACCATCATTACTAAAGACACTACCGCTCCCCACCTGCAACACCACTACTACCACCACCATTATTACAACCACCATCGCCGCCACAACCACCACCACTATCACCGACACGACCGTCATCACCTTAACCACCATCATGATCATCACCCCCATCACCACCATTAACACCACCACCACTATCACCATCACCACCACTATCAACACCACCAGCACCACCACTATCACCACCACCATCAACACTATCACCACTATCACCACCACTATTACCACCATCACGGTCACCACCAATATTACCACCATTTTCACCACCACTATCACCACCACCACTACCACCATCACCATCACTACCACTATCACCACCACTATCACCACCACTTTTACCACCACCACTGTCACCACCACCACTATCACCACCACGATCACCACTATCACCACTATTACCACCACCACTGTCACCACCACTATCACCACCACTGTTACCACCACCACTGTCACCACCACTACTATCACCACCACTATCACCACCACCACGATCACCACTATCACCACTGTCACCACCACCGCCACTATCACCACCGTCACTACCACCACCACCACCATGATCACCACCACCGCCAATGTAATCACCACCACCGCCGCCACCACCGCCACCACCACCACCAAAGGCACCACGCGCAGGGCGCTCACGTTCCAGGTCAGCACCCCGCGCTCGAGGACAGCTCCCCCGTGGCCACTCCGCTCGGCCGCCGTCACGGGCGGGAGGCCGCTCGCCTCGGGGTGGGGGGTGGGGGGGCTGGTGCCCACTCGCCCCCCCCCCCCCCACACACACACCCAGGCGCCCTGGGCACGCGGGGACGATTGCAAAGGTCGATAGCCGGAGGTCGAAGGGCGACTGCGCTCAGGGCTGCGTTGTGCAGTGTCCGTGCGTGGGACTTCTTTCGCACCGTACGTAGCCGACCCCGTGCCAATCGGATGTGTGCGCAGGGGGAGGACAAGGAACTAGGCACCGTTTTAGAGACGTCAGTTCTCGACCTTGGTGCGTCTCACGGAAGATCCTCGGCAGATGCTTGGTCGGACGCTGATGCTGGTTGTAGTTTAGTTACGTGGTCTCGTATGCACGCACGGCGTCAATAAAACACACGCGACACAGACAAAGGATCCCCCGTGTAGTCTTTGACAGACGTGGGGCAAGTGCTGCTAGCGAGCAGCGCCGTATGAAGGCCGGCACGGCACACGAGGGGTGGGTGGGCAACACCACGCCCGGCCGCCTTTGTCTCCCCAGTGACGATGTTTAAACATCGCCACCAGGTTCTCATTTGAGGCCGAGTCGACTTAGAGGTGGGGGGGGGGCGCCCAGGACCGGTTCAGATAATCGTCAGTGGCGTTGGTGGCCGTGAGCGAGTCCTCGTGCTCGGGGTCGCCGGGGTTCGTCGTGCGGCGCTCTAACCACTGCGCCACCGCTCCCCGCACACGCACGTACACGCAGCATCACACAGACACACACGCACGTACACGCAGCATCACGCACACACAGACACACACACACGCACGCACACGCAGCATCACACAGACACACACGCACGTACACGCAGCATCACACACACACAGACACACACACACGCACGCACGTACACGCAGCATCACACGCACACACAGACACACACACGCAGCATCACACGCACACACAGACACACACGCGCGCGTAGCAAGGGACGCTAGAACAAAGCAGAATACAGAAGTGGGATGAGTGCGGTGGTAGTCTACGCTGTGATTTAAAGGCGCGTCTGACGAGGGTTGGTGGTGTTGATTGATTGATAATTTTCATCGCGAGCCGAGTGTCAAACAATTTCGCCCCGCGTGCATTATATGCGCGCGCGCACACACACACAGGGACACGTACATACACACAGAGACGCCGAGAGAGAGAGACTGAGACTCGCATATAGACAGAGCGATGTAGAAACAGGAGAGATAGAGATACGGTGATACAGACGACGAGAGATAGAGAGAGCGAGACAGATGTAGATGGAGACACGGACACACAGACGGAGACTCACAGACAGAGGCATAGAAACAGAGAGACAGACACAGAGATAGATGCGAGATACAGAGACACAATGACAGAGAGAGAGACAAAGAGAGAGAAATAGACACAGAGAGAGGGAAACAGATACACAGGGAGACACCGACACACAGCTAGAGATAAGATTGACACGCACACAGACAGACAGACATAGCAACACAGCGAGAGATGCAGAGACTCAATGACGGAGAGAGCTAGACAAAGGGACACAGAGAGAGACACACAGAGAGAGACGCCGATTCATGCAGGGAGCGGGACAGAGAGGGACACACAGACAGAGATCGATCTCACCTCTCCCCGGCTGGCGGGGTCCGTGACAGAGCAGAGGTCGCTCATGTCGGCGCTGTCTGACATCTCGGAGGCTCTGAGTGCGCGGGGTGTCGGTCGTGCAGGTGTGGCGGCGGTGGTGGCGGTGGTGACCGATCGTGGCAGGGGAGGCACCTCCCAATCACTCTATTGTCCACGGCGGCGGGCAAACCAGGGAGAGCTGCGGTGCGAGAGCCAGAGACGGAGGGAGAGAGAGGGGAGGGCAAGGGACGCCTCCAATAAACCTGCACTGTGGCGGTCCCTCCCTCCTCGCCCCGTCTCCTACGTGATGCTCTGAGCAGCGGAGGTGGTTGTCAAGACAACACTGCCACCACCCCCCACCCACCCACCCCCTCCTCCTCCACCTCAGTCTCCCTCTCTCCCTCTCTCACACCCCCCACCACCCACCCACCCTACCCAAACCCACCCCAATCTCTCTCCCCCCACCACCCACCCACCCTACCCAAACTCACCCAATCTCTCTCCCCACCAACCACCCATCCTACCCAAACCCACCCCAATCTCTCCCCCCCCCACCAACCACCCACCCTACCCAAACTCACCCCAATCTCTCCCCACCACCCACCCACCCTACCCAAACTCACCCCATTCTCTCTCCCCCCACCACCCACCACCCTACCCAAACTCACCCAAATCTCTCTCCCCCCACCACCCACCCACCCTACCCAAACTCACCCCAATCTCTCTCCCCCCACCACCCACCCACCCTACCCAAACTCACCCCAATCTCTCTCCCCCCACCACCCAACCACCCTACCCAAACTCACCCCAATCTCTCTCCCCCCACCACCCACCACCCTACCCAAACTCAGCCCAATCTCTCTCCCCCCACCACCCACCCTACCCAAACTCAGCCCAATCTCTCTCCCCCCACCACCCACCCTACCCAAACTCACCCCAATCTCTCTCCCCCCACCACCCACCCACCCTACCCAAACTCACCCTAATCTCTCTCTCCCCCCACCACCCACCCACCCAAACTCACCCCAATCTCTCACACCCACACCAACCACCCACACTACCCAAACTCAGCCCAATCTCTCTCCCCCCACCACCCACCCTACCCAAACTCACCCAATCTCTCCCCCCACCACCCACCCTACCCAAACTCACCCAATCTCTCCCCCCACCACCCACCCTACCCAAACTCAGCCCAATCTCTCTCTGTCTGTGTATTCTACCCAACCCGCCGACACGTTTTCAGGCCCATACCAACGCCCAAAAATAATACATGCACAGACCTAGAGCTTCTTTGTCATTCAAATCCATTCTTCCGTGGCTGATCTATATAAAATTGTCTCTCTCTCGCTCTTAAATCCCCCAGCGGAAGACAGAAGTCTGTCACAGCACCCAGCAGCGGCTTGCCATCAAGCTGCACCAGAAATAAAACCCCGATGGAGGAATTGACCCATTTCCAGTAAAATTGTGTTTCACGCCTCTCCTCCGCGCTGCCTTCAAAGGCAAAATCCCAGCGTAGCGCAGACACCCAGGGCCACGTTGTGTGTGTGTGTGTGGGTCTGACAAAGGCGGCCGGGCGTGGTGCTGGCCACCCACCCCCTCGTCTGCTGTGCCCGCCTTCATAGGTGCTCGCTAACAGCACTTTCCCCAGCCGTCTATTAAGGCTACACGGGGGATTTTTGTCGTTGTATGTGGGTGCCTGTGTGTCTGTGTGTGTGTGGCTGGGTCTGTGTGTGGGTTATTCAGCCCAAATGAGTACCTGGTGCGGTGTTTAAACATCGTCAATCGGGAGACAAAGGCGGCCGGGCGTGGTGCTGGCCACCCACCCCCTCGTGTGCTGTGCCCGCCTTCATAGGTGCTGCTCGCTAACAGCACTTGCCCCAACAGTGTGTTAAGGCTATGTGGGGGATCTTTGTCTTTGCGTGGGTCATTGCACCGCGCCTCGAACCCGGCGACCCGAATTCGATTGCCGCTCACGGCCACAAAACAAGCAGCGACGAACATCTGATACCTGGAGTCTCTCCTAGGTCGACTCAGCCCTAAAACGGAATACCTGATGCGATTTGTCAAACGTCAGCGCTGCCCCAAAGAGTCCGTTGAAGGCAACACGGGGGGTAGTTTGTCTTCGTGTGTGATGGGTCGGTGCGACCCGCGGCACTTACGGACCCAGCCACCAGAGTTCGATTCCCAACCACGGCTAACATCAGTGGCGATTATCCGAACCCGTTCCTGCCCCCGACCTCCCAATGCAACAAAGCAGACCGCACTGACCAGCGTGGTGAAGTATGGTGAAGCGACCCCAATGATCGAGAGGGGCAAGCTTCCACCCAGCAATAGATTAACAATGCGCAATTGTGCCGTGCGTATTTTACAGCTATTAAGCTAAACTATTAAACTAAACTACGTTTAATGTTTCTGGGTCAGACCCATTGAGCTGTAGAGCTTGTTTTGAGAAGCGACCTGGCCGCAAATGATAGCTCGACGAATGGAGATTTATAGCAGAAGTCAAATAACTCTAAACTCGTGACGTTGATTCTAAATGGGGAGAGAGGGTGGGGTGGAAACGGGGAGAGAGAGACGCAAACCACAAATATACAGCAGCAGGCGTCAGGGTCGGGATCGAACCCACGACCTCCTGTATACCAGGCGAGGTACTGAACAAAATTAATCAATATACAATCAAAATGTATGCACAGCCGTGCTTTGTATGTAGCCGTGGTGTTGCTGCACAGCCACCAGAGGGAAGCCTCTCTCGCACACACGTGTCTACTGCCCGCCTGCCCGCCCGCCTGCCCACCCGCCCGCCCGTGGCTGCGTGCTTGCATCGGTAGCTGCTGCACGGAATAGTAAATGGATTTCGCGGCGCTGTACCCGAGCGAGAGCAGCGGTGGTTAAATGTAACCTCGTGTGGCCACACGGACTCACAGAGCAGCAGCAGCAGCAGCAATGCCAACACAGAGTTGGAGGAACGCCGCTGCCGCTGCTGCGAACAGAGAGAGCGTGGAGCAACGCGGCCGTACAGAATAAACGCCTCCTCATTTCGAGACCCAAAAACAACATCATGGCACCACCTCCTCCTGGCTTTGACATTCCACCTCCTCGTGGTGGTGGTGGTGGTGGGACCATCGATCACCTCGTCAGGACATCGACAGCCCGATGCGCACACCTCCATCGTGAACGGGAAATGAAAGACAGCTCGTGACGGCGATGCCAATGTGGTCATGCAACACAAACTATGGGCCATACAGTGCACCCATAGAGGCCCATAGAGACCCGTAGAGATGCATTGAGATGCCTACAAACCATTAGAGATATATAAAGACCCGTAGAGACACATAGAGATGCATAGAGATACATTGAGATAAATAGAACCCAGCAGAAATATACATTTCGATATAAAGCTTCCGTGACTGCAGGGATTCATATTCTTGGTTCTTTTGGTAAAGTCACGTAGAAAGGAAATAATAAAATAATAATAAAACAGCAGGAATATATAAAGACCCGTAGAGACACATAAAGATACATAGAGACCCATAGCGATACATAGAGATACATATAAACCAATAGAGATATAGAAAGATCGGTAGATACATAGATATGCATAGAAACCAACAGAAATACAATGAGATACATAGACACCAACAGGGATAAATAGACCCAGAGACCCATAGAGACACAGACACAGAGAGACACACAGATATACATAGAGACCCATAGAGACACACAGAGATACATAGAAACCAACAGGGATATATAAAAAGAGACCCACAGAGATACAAAGAGACCCATAGAGACCCATAGAGACCCACAGAGATACGTAGAGACCCACAGAGACCCATAGAGACCCACAGAGATACATAGAGACCCATAGAGATACATAGAAACCCACAGAGATACATAGAGACCCACAGAGATACGTAGAGACCCACAGAGATGCATAGAGACCCACAGATATACGTAGAGACCCACAGAGATACATAGAGACCCACAGAGATACGTAGAGACCCACAGAGATACATGAAGACCCAGAGAGATACGTAGAGACCCACAGAGATACGTAGAGACCCACAGAGATACATAGAGACCCACAGAGATACGCAGAGACCCACAGAGATACATAGAAACCCACAGAGATACATAGAGACCCACAGAGATACATAGAGACCCACAGAGATACATAGAGACCCACAGAGATACATAGAGACCCACAGAGATACATAGAGACCCACAGAGATACATAGAGACCCACAGAGATACGTAGAGACCCACAGAGATACATAGAGACCCACAGAGATACGTAGAGACCCACAGAGATACATAGAGACCCACAGAGATACGTAGAGACCCACATAGATACATAGAGACCCACAGAGATACGTAGAGACCCACAGAGATACATAGAGACCCACAGAGATACGTAGAGACCCACAGAGATACATGAAGACCCAGAGAGATACGTAGAGACCCACAGAGATACGTAGAGACCCACAGAGATACATAGAGACCCACAGAGATACGCAGAGACCCACAGAGATACATAGAGACCCACAGAGATACATAGAGACCCACAGAGATACATAGAGACCCACAGAGATACATAGAGACCCACAGAGATACATAGAGACCCACAGAGATACATAGAGACCCACAGAGATACATAGAGACCCACAGAGATACATAGAGACCCACAGAGATACATAGAGACCCACAGAGATACGTAGAGACCCACAGAGATACATAGAGACCCACAGAGATACATAGAGACCCACAGAGATACATAGAGACCCACAGAGATACATAGAGACCCACAGAGATACATAGAGACCCACAGAGATACGTAGAGACCCACAGAGATACGTAGAGACCCACAGAGATACATAGAGACCCACAGAGATACATAGAGACCCACAGAGATACATAGAGACCCACAGAGATACATAGAGACCCACAGAGATACATAGAGACCCACAGAGATACAGAGACCCACAGAGATACATAGAGACCCACAGAGATACATAGAGACCCACAGAGATACATAGAGACCCACAGAGATACATAGAGACCCACAAAGATACAGAAACATATAGAGATACATAGAGACCCACAGAGATACGTAGAGACCCACAGAGATACATAGAGACCCACAGAGATACGTAGAGACCCACAGAGATACATAGAGACCCACAGAGATACATAGAGACCCACAGAGATACATAGAGACCCACAAAGATACAGAAACATATAGAGATACATAGAGACCCACAGAGATACGTAGAGACCCACAGAGATACATAGAGACCCACAGAGATACGTAGAGACCCACAGAGATACATAGAGACCCACAGAGATACATAGAGACCCACAAAGATACAGAAACATATAGAGATACATAGAGACCCACAGAGATACGTAGAGACCCACAGAGATACATAGAGACCCACAGAGATACGTAGAGACCCACAGAGATACATAGAGACCCACAGAGATACATAGAGACCCACAGAGATACATAGAGACCCACAAAGATACAGAAACATATAGAGATACATAGAGACCCACAGAGATACGTAGAGACCCACAGAGATACATAGAGACCCACAGAGATACGTAGAGACCCACAGAGATACGTAGAGACCCACAGAGATACATAGAGATACATAGAGATACATAGAGATACATAGAGATACAAAGAGACCCACAGAGATACGTGTGTCTAAATTAAAGACATGCCAGTGGCACGATTGTGGCCATGTAAACAAAACGATGGAGCGTAGAGGAAGCAACTTCAACTCTGTCTCTCTCTCTCTCGCAGCAGCAGCAGCACAGGCGGCAGCAGCAGCACAGGCAGCAGCAGCAGCAGCACAGGCAGCAGCAGCAGCAGCACAGGCAGCAGCAGCAGCAGCACAGGCAGCAGCAGCAGCAGCACAGGCAGCAGCAGCAGCAGCACAGGCAGCAGCAGCAGCAGCACAGGCAGCAGCAGCAGCAGCACAGGCAGCAGCAGCAGCAGCACAGGCAGCAGCAGCAGCAGCACAGGCAGCAGCAGCAGCAGCACAGGCAGCAGCAGCAGCAGCACAGGCAGCAGCAGCAGCAGCACAGGCAGCAGCAGCAGCAGCACAGGCAGCAGCAGCAGCAGCACAGGCAGCAGCAGCAGCAGCAGCACAGGCAGCAGCAGCAGCAGCAGCACAGGCAGCAGCAGCAGCAGCACAGGCAGCACAGGCAGCAGCAGCACAGGCAGCAGCGGCAGCAGCAGCACAGGCAGCAGCAGCAGCAGCACAGGCAGCAGCAGCACAGGCAGCAGCAGCAGCAGCACAGGCGGCGGCAGCAGCACAGGCGGCGGCAGCAGCACAGGCGGCGGCAGCAGCACAGGCGGCGGCAGCAGCACAGGCGGCGGCAGCAGCACAGGCGGCGGGAGCAGCACAGGCGGCGGCAGCAGCATTGGCATCGCCGCTTCTGCTCGTGTCGCTGCCATCACGCAACAGCTCCGACTCGGCAATGTGCACCAACCCAGCGAACCGGAATCAGAAGAATATGTATTGGTACTGCAGGAGGAATCCGATGAGCTATGAAGCTCTTTCTCAGGGATGTTACGGTAAGGGGGCAGGTCGGAACGTTACAACAGACAGCACACAGACATCGTAGGAGTGCAGAGTTTGCAAAAGGTAAACGAGTTGGTTTGAAAAATATACAAAAGAAACTAAACTATTTTTTGTTATCTTACCAGGTAAAGCCCACTGAGCTATCTTGATTTGAAGCTTTCGTGCCTGCAGGGATCCATACTCTTTGGTTCTTTCGGTAAAGTCACGTAGTTAGAAAAATAAAATAGAAACGACATCACGGCGTTTCGATCGCAACACAAGAGGTCGTCCTCAGGCGTAAAACAACTAATAATAATCCAGCAGTGGAGCTGCTGAACCAGGGAGAGAGCTGTTACAACAACAAGGTTGTGCTGCGATCGAAACGTCGTGATATATTTTTATTTATTTAATTATCTACGGGACTTTACCGAAAGAACCAACGAGTACCACTGAGCTGTCTTGCTCTTTTTTAGAAGCGACTTGGCTACAAGTGAAAGCTCAACAAAGTGGCTTATCATCGTTATCATCGTGTGGACATGTGTAGTGACATCATCATCTAAACGCATGTTTCTAAGTGGAGGGAAAAACCTTAGGACCCGGAGAAAAAATAAATCCACGCGACCACTGGGAGAGAGAGACGCAAACTCCAAATATACAGCAGGCGTCAGGGTCGGGCTCGAACCCACGACCTCCTGTACACCAGGCGAGGTAGTTAACATCTCCTAGCCACCGTGATGATGATGAGAGAGAGACGCAAACTCCAAATATACAGCAGGCGTCAGGGTCCGGATCGAACCCACGACCTCCTGTACACCAGGCGAGGTAGTGAACATCTCCAAGCCACCGTGATGATGATGAGAGAGAGGGAGAGACACAAACTACAAATATACAGCAGCAGGCGCCAGGGTCGGGATCTAACCCACGACCTCCTGCATACCAGGCGAGGTAGTTAACACCTCATAGACACCACAAGCCACGCCGCTGGTGCTGTACAGGGCAGAGTGTTTCCACAGTGGGTGGTGGCTGGGGGAGTCACGTGGATGTAGGGGAGGCTCAGGCCGATATACATCGATTAGGAGGAGCCTGTATGCCAGATCGTAAACAATGTTGGTTTCCAAGAGTAACCAGCGGGCTCGGACTAAGAGCACCACGCGTGCGGTGCCTCCGTTGATTAGTATTTTCCTCCGCTTGCAGTCACTTAGCTAGCCGGGATATAGACCTCACAAAATGGGACAATTGGTTAAAAGATCGACGGTCATTCATTCGTAAATTTAATTCTCGAAACCCATGTTGGGGGTCGGGCAGGGGGTCATGGGTCCACTCGGCAGTGGGCCACAACGTGGTCGAGGACAAGGACGTAGCCATGGAGTCAACATTTGGGGGGGACCAAATCTTCCAGGGGGTCTGGGGTCTGGGGTCCCCCCCCCCCCAGAAAAAGAAATCTAAACTTGAAAACGAATTTCCTGCCTAAAATATGAAAAAAATTCACTAGCACATGGGATGGACTTTTTTTGCTTTTTAAATCCTTTTTAAATCCTTTATATTAAGTGTGCTTGCGTGCTTGCTTGCTTGCTTAGGACCGTGCAAATCTTTCGGTCGTTTTTTAACCCACTTCCCGTGATCCAATCGAGCTGACATTTTCCACACAGACGCGTTGTGCCAGACAATTATTGTTCGTGAAAAAAAATTCCCAAAATGTTACACTTTTTAGGCAAAAAAAAATATTTTACATATATTCAAATAGAACGCATTCATGGCTTTGGCTGAACGTCAGTGTAAGAGCCCAGAGCGTAACCCCTCCACAGGCCGTGGCGGAGTAGCGCAGTTAGTAGCGCCCTCGCTTCCCATGCCAAAGGTCGCGAGATCGATCCCCGCGTCCTCCACAGGCGAATATAATTTTAAATCCTTTATATTAAGTTCGCGTGCTTGCTTGCGTGCTTGCGTGCTTGCTTGCTTACGTGCTTGCTTGCTTACGACCGTGCAAATCTTTCGGTCGTTTTTTAACCCACTTCCCGTGATCCAGTCGAGCTGACATTTTCCACACAGACTCGTTGTGCGAGACAATTAATGTTCGTGAAAAAAAATTCCCAAAATGTTACACTGTTTAGGGAAAACAATCATCTGACCCATAGGTGGCAGCCATCTCAAGCCAGAGGACGAGAGGACTCTAGCCGCCACGCATATAAAGGATTTATAGTGAAAAACTTTGTTTTTACGGGTTATACTTATTACAATAATGTCTAATAGTGTAGTGTATTACATTGCTGGTTTTTCTGTTTTACCTTTTCTTGTTTCATTGTATGTAATGGCAGAAATTAGGGATTAATGAAGTACAACCATAACCACAATCATATAAACAGCAATCTATTTTATCGCAATATATTGGGGGGGACATTGAGCATATTTTAATATTAGCGGGGGGGGGGGTGGGATGTGCCCCCCCCCCCCAATAAATATTATACAATCACAGCCTTGGTCGAGGACCACTTCTCCAGGACGGAATAAAACGCGAAACCTTCTCAAACGTAATGAACCGACAACGTACACGCGGTGTTTTGTTTTTATTGGATCAACTTTTATTCAACGATAAATTATAAACTAATCCCCGTCGACTTTTAAATTACGCCCCAGGCAAGCGACGGTCATCCGCAGGTGCCTGGCAAAGTGTTGGGAACGGAGAGCGCCACAATCCTTCGTTCGTGAATGGGAGGAGGGGGGGGCGGGGGTGAGAAACGCAGGATAACTTCCACAACCGCGCCTCTGTTTATATTCAAAGAGATTAAACGGTAGGGCAGTTGAACCACTCCGACACACGGCAATCACCCCATGGCCACAGTAGCGCATTCAGAGCTGGCCATGGAGATGGTTTTCCTGGCCGGGCAAGAACATTTGCAGCCAGAGTTTAACACAATCGAACGCCTCGCGATCCGCCTTCTCCCACGTTTTACAAATCTTCGCCGTTCCATTACGCACTACGTGGTGACGCACCGCACACACCTGATGCCGAATCGGATCTCTCTACGCCATGAGGAACAAAGACGAAGATCCCCCGTGTAGCCTCAACAGACTGTAAGGGCAAGTGCTGCGAGTGAGCGCCTATACAGGCCGGCAGGGTGCGCGAAAGAGGAGTGGTGTGGCCGGTGCCTGTGCTCGGCCACCTTTGCTCTCCCCCAAGTGCCGATGTCTACACACCACAGAGCTGCCACTCATTTAAGGCCGATCCGACCTGGAGGAGGGCCGGGACAAGTTCCGATAACCGAACACTCGTGTTGGCATGGAACTCGGCTCGCCAGGTTCACGGTGCAGCGTGCAAAACACTGCGCAACCGTTCACAAACACGCGTACACACACACATGCGCACACATGCACACACACACGCACACACACGCACATGCGCACGTGCACACACGCACACACACACACACATGCACGCACGCACGCACACACACACACGCACACGCGTACCAGCGCGGGCACACATGCGGTTACGCTTCTCGATTCGGCTCGCCGCTGCATACTGCGCATGCAGCATGCTGCATCGTGTGCGTGCAGCATGCTGCACACTGCACATGCTGCACACTGCATACTGTGCGTGCAGCATGGTGCACCTCAACCTGTATTTGAACGGAGAAGACCGCGATAATGAAGCCGTCGTTCCAGAAACGAAGCGACACGGACTTCGCGGTGAGAATGCATCGCCAGGGACGGAGGGAATTCGTTGATGAACGCGAACAGACGGAAGGACGTCGCAGCCCTTGGGAGAGACTGGATTTCGTTACGCGGAGAAGGTGGGGGGGGGCGAAAATGCTGGCAAACTTGAAAAACAACGCAACAAACACCCCCCCACCTCTGTTGCTCTCTCCCTATCCATCTCGAGAGAGAGAGAGAGATGGATACGGAGAGACATGGAGGGCAAGAGAAAGAGAGATGTAAAGAAATGCAGCGTGGACCCGTGGCAGACCTGAAACACCGGGCGGGGAAAAACTTCCCAACTCGCCACTTCACCCCTTGCTCCCTCTCAAAAGCCAAAACCGCCGGTCGGTGAACGCCGAAACTCGCCGATTCGCGCTGGCCGCAAACCGAGCCGTGCCGCCCCCACGCGGCCGGGCGGCACGACCCGACGACGTGGCATGGAGTGGCAAAAAAATAATTAACCCCTGACCCCCGACCCCCGCATGGACTCCCCGGCTCCCCACCCCCCACACACACCCCCACCACCCCCCACCGCCCCCCACCACGAGCCGGATTCAGCGGCCGCGGAAGAGAGGTCGATTCGCCCGCAGCGTCGGTCAGCTCCGTGGCGGCGGCGGCGCCGAGCGCTGTCGCAGTCACGAACTTTTCTTGTCCTTGGAGCCCAAGGCCGCTGTCGCGAGGCCAACGGCTGTGGGTGACGGACGAGGAGGTGGGGGGGAGGGGGTGGGTGAGGGGCAAGGTGCAGAAGAATAACAACAACAACAACAACAACGGACGCGTCTGTAAACCTGGGGTGCGAGCCACATGGGCCACGCTTTGGATGACACTGAACCTTGACCACGTGGGCGCTGCGTGCGGGACGGTGCCTGAGTGCGGCGCTAAGATTATAAACGCGGCGGTGTTGGCGGGTCGACACCATCCCCCTTACACGGAGTGCGGCGAGGATGCCTGCAGCGGCTCGACGACCCGCCCCCCACGGGACATCTGTGAAGAGCTTCATAGCTCATCGGATTCCTCCTGCAGTCTCAATAAAGGTTCCGATTCTGGATGCCGGATCAAGTTCGTAGTGGTCCAGAACTCTCTTCTGCCACCGTGGTGAGATGTTAATTACCTCGCCTAGTATGCAGGCGGTCGTGGGTTCTATCCAGACCCTGACACCTGCTGCTGTATATTTTTGGCGTTTCCGTGTCTCTCTCCCCGTGGTCGCGTGGAATTTTTCTCCAGGTCCTCCGGTTTTTCCCTCCACATTTAGAATAAACATCACGCGTTTAGAGACCATTTGGCTGCTATCAATTTGCACGTGATGGTGATGATGATGATAAGCCACTTCCTTGAGATATAAAATTGTGGCAGCCAGGTCGCCTCTGAAAAAGAGCTCAGCGGGGCCTTACTTGGTTAAAATAAAAAAATCAGTTTAGTTTTAGTGCAGCTCCATGCCGCTGGACTCCCTGCCCCCTGCCTCTCTCCAGGAAATAACTGCTACGCCAGCTGCCCCCGCAGAGACTTCTGGGATGCGAGTGCGGGTAGACGCCGTGTGTATACACATGGCGCTGTAGCACAAGTCCAGATGGCAAATCGGCGAACATTTTTTTTTTATATTCGAGATGTTAACTACCTCGGCCTGGTATACAGGAGGTCGTGGGTTCGATCCCGACCCTGACGCCTGCTGCTGTATATTTGGAGTTTGCGTGTCTCTCCCTGTGGTCGTGTGGATTTTTCTCCGGGTCCTCTGGTTTTTCCCTACACATTTAGAATCAACGTGCACTGAAGAGTATTTGGCTTCTGTTATAAATGTCCACACGATGACGATACGCCACTGTGATCGGGCCATCGCTTGTGGCCAGTCCACTTCGGAACGAGAGCGCCAGATAAGATTACCTGGTACAATTAAAAAATGTTTAAACAGTTTAGTTGCTGATTAATTGCTGATTGGCAGGGAAGCATCATGGGCGGTACGCAGTGGCAGAACCGTAGCAGTGCCGTTGTAATAGCAGGCAAATGTTTACTGCCACAACAACAACAGGCGCCGCCAATCACCACCACGTGGCTGTGAATGTCACACCATAGCTTGTGCCAGGCTCGGTGCACTTAGGTGTCAAAGGTTCGCTGCTGACTTGAGGTCACGGGACTGCAAATAACACACTCGCAGACGCACGCTCTCACGCTCACACATACACAGACACTCAAACACATGCTCTCACCTTCACAGGGGGCAAAGACAAATGCAAAGATCCCTCGTATAGCCTTTAACAGGCTGTTGGGGCAAGTGCTGTTCGGGAGAACCGATTAAGGCCGGCACAGCACACGAAGGGGTGGGTGACCAGCACCATGCCCATGTCACACTTACACACACAAATTTACATACACACGCAACTTACACACACAAATTTACATACACACGCAACTTGCACACACAAATTTACATACACACGCAACTTGCACACACAAATTTACATACACACGCAACTTGCACACACAAATTTACATACACACGCAACTTGCACACACAAATTTACATACACACGCAACTTGCACACACAAATTTACATACACACGCAACTTGCACACACAAATTTACATACACACGCAACTTGCACACACAAATTTACATACACACGCAACTTGCACACACAAATTTACATACACACGCAACTTGCACACACAAATTTACATAGACACGCAACTTGCACACACAAATTTACATAGACACGCAACTTGCACACACAAATTTACATAGACACGCAACTTGCACACACAAATTTACATAGACACGCAACTTGCACACACAAATTTACATACACACGCAACTTGCACACACAAATTTACATACACACGCAACTTGCACACACAAATTTACATACACACGCAACTTGCACACACACATTTACATACACACGCAACTTGCACACACAAATTTACATACACACGCAACTTGCACACACACATTTACATACACACGCAACTTGCACACACAAATTTACATAGACACGCAACTTGCACACACACATTTACATACACACGCAACTTGCACACACAAATTTACATACACACGCAACTTGCACACACAAATTTACATACACACGCAACTTGCACACACACATTTACATAGACACGCAACTTGCACACACACATTTACATACACACGCAACTTGCACACACACATTTACATACACACGCAACTTGCACACACAAATTTACATACACACGCAACTTGCACACACAAATTTACATACACACGCAACTTGCACACACAAATTTACATACACACGCAACTTGCACACACAAATTTACATACACACGCAACTTGCACACACAAATTTACATACACACGCAACTTGCACACACAAATTTACATAGACACGCAACTTGCACACACAAATTTACATACACACGCAACTTGCACACACAAATTTACATACACACGCAACTTGCACACACAAATTTACATACACACGCAACTTGCACACACAAATTTACATACACACGCAACTTGCACACACAAATTTACATACACACGCAACTTGCACACACACATTTACATAGACACGCAACTTGCACACACAAATTTACATACACACGCAACTTGCACACACACATTTACATAGACACGCAACTTGCACACACACATTTACATAGACACGCAACTTGCACACACACATTTACATAGACACGCAACTTGCACACACAAATTTACATACACACGCAACTTGCACACACAAATTTACATACACACGCAACTTGCACACACAAATTTACATACACACGCAACTTGCACACACAAATTTACATACACACGCAACTTGCACACACAAATTTACATACACACGCAACTTGCACACACAAATTTACATACACACGCAACTTGCACACACAAATTTACATACACACGCAACTTGCACACACAAATTTACATACACACGCAACTTGCACACACAAATTTACATACACACGCAACTTGCACACACAAATTTACATACACATGCAACTTGCACACACAAATTTACATACACACGCAACTTGCACACACAAATTTACATACACACGCAACTTGCACACACAAATTTACATACACACGCAACTTGCACACACAAATTTACATACACACGCAACTTGCACACACACACACACACTTCAGCCGGCACCCTCCTGTTCGCACAGTTGGCTACGTACGGTGAGAAAGAAGTTCAACAGACATGCACGAGTGGCAGTGACGTCACCACGGCGCTCGTGCCAGCCTAGGTGCACTCCGAGGCTATCACGTGAAGTGTCGAAGGCTCGCTGCCGGCAGGAGGTCACATGACAGACCCAGGTACACACTGCCACATTTCATCACAATTCTGTACGCCCCTCCCCCCCACTACCCCCTCCCCCCCACTACCCCCTCCCACCCACTACCCCCTCCCCCCCACTACCCCCTCCCGCCCCACTTCCCCCTCCCCCCCCACTTCCCCCTCCCCCCCACTACCCCCTCCCCCCCACTACCCCCTCCCCCCCACTACCCCCTCCCCCCCACTACCCCCTCCCCCCCACTACCCCCTCCACCCCACTACCCCCTCCACCCCACTACCCCCTCCACCCCCTCCCCCCCACTACCCCCTCCACCCCACTACCCCCTCCACCCCACTACCCCCTCCCCCCCCACTACCCCCTCCCCCCCCACTACCCCCTCCACCCCCTCCCCCCCACTACCCCCTCCCCCCCACTACCCCCCCCCCCACTACCCCCCCCCACTACCCCCCCCCACCTCCCTCACCTCGTGACGTGGCAGCGTCGGCCGCCTCGCGCGCCCGCCCGCCCAGGTCTTCCATCACGCGGTCGACCTGTGCCGCGTGGGCATGGAACCAGGGCAGGATGATGCGCTGGTAGATGACGGTGGAGCCGTTCCACGACACGGGCGCCATGCACCACACGAGGAAGGCACACTGCAGCACGCAAAGACAAAGGTCACCATCCACCACCCCCGCCGCCTCCCGTGTGTGTTTTGACAGACCGCTGGGGCAAGCGCTGTTAAGCGAGCAGCACCGACGAAGGCCGGCACAGTGGCCCATGAGGTGGGGTGGGTGGGTCACCAGAGCCACGCCCGTCCGTCTTTGTCTCCCCCCCCCCCCACCCAGTGGCGATGTTTCTACACAGACACACACACGGGTGTGCGGAGTGTGTGCGTACGCGAGCACGGACACAAAGACCCGCCCAGTGAAGCCTTACCCGACTGTCGGGGAAGTGCTGTTCACCAGGGCCTATGAAGGCCGGCACGGCACGCGAGGGGTGGGTGGGAAACACCACGCCCGGCCGCCTTTGTCTCCCCAGTGGTGATGTTTACGTATAGCACTCATTTTAGGCCGAGTGGGCCTACGGGAGGCCCAGGACGGGTTCAGATTATCGTCACTGGTGTTGGCTGTGAGCAGGAATCGAACTTGCATTGCCGGGTTCGTAGCGCAGCGTTCACTTACACACGTGGGTGTGTTCACTTACACACATAGGTGCGTTCACTTACACACATAGGTGCGTTCACTTACACACGTAGGTGCGTTCACTTACACACGTAGGTGCGTTCACTTACACACGTGGGTGCGTTCACTTACACACATAGGTGCGTTCACTTACACACATGGGTGCGTTCACTTACACACATGGGTGCGTTCACTTACACACATGGGTGCGTTCACTTACACACATGGGTGCGTTCACTTACACACATGGGTGCGTTCACTTACACACATAGGTGCGTTCACTTACACACATAGGTGCGTTCACTTACACACATAGGTGCGTTCACTTACACACATAGGTGTGTAAGTGAACGCATGGGGGGCGGTAAGCGTCGTGTTTAGTACAGAAGAACCCCTCTTAACGACCATCCCTGTTAACGATTAATTGCTTAACAACTAGCCTCCATAGAGCCCCATGTGTAGTGTATAGAAGTGGTATATAGTGTCATGTATAATGTAGTGTGTAGTGTAGTGTATAGTGTAGTGTATAGTGTAGTGTATAGTGTAGTGTATAGTGTAGTGTATAGCGTAGTGTATAGTAGTGTAGTGTATAGTAGTGTAGTGTATAATGTAGTGTAGTGCCTCCATAGAACCCAATGTGGTTCGCTAACAGACCATTCCCCCGTTAACCACGGGCGACCACCAATTTCGGCCAATCGGCGGGCTCCAAAGTGGTCTGACCAGGCCTCGGCCAATCAGCGACGTCCATTCACGATCGCTGGGGCATTGTTCACATGCGACGCCATCGGAACGAATGACGCCGTTAATCTGCCCTTCCTAAACTCGCTTAACGACCAAATCACTTCACGGGCAGTCGAGGAACGAATTGCCGCCGTCAAGAGCGGGTTCTACTGTACACTGCGCTGCGCTACGAAACCGGTGACCCGAGTTCGATTCCTTAGACGCCTCTTCGCCCGCCCTCCCGGCCTTAAAATCGGCGCTCGCAAACAGCACTTGCCCCAACAGTGTCCGTAGGCCACACGGGGGATCTTCATCGTCGTGTGTGTGCGAGCGCGTGAGATTTGCGAGCGCGTAGACCAGCGGTCCTTAAACTTCACTGTAGCCTTGCACCCCCCCCCCTTTTGGTTCTCGATATTAAAATAAAAAAAAGTACAATATCAATAAACAGGTCGGGTTCGACGAAACAAAGTAAGTTGTTACTTAACGTGCCGGTGCTTAAGTTGCGTTTGCGATGATTGACCTTATATGATAAACAAATCTGGCCGTGTCTCGCCACGCCCCAGAGAGGGCATCTCGCACCCCCAGTGGGGGGGGGGGGGGGCGTGCACCCCCAAGCTAAGAAGAAGAAGAACCACTGCTGCAGTGTGCACCCTTCGTGGCTTATTCATGCTCTCCGTTGCTGCATTGAGTCTCCCCACGTGTCCGTCAGCACCCAAAGATTCTTCCTCCCCCACCCCACCCCCCAGGTGAAGAACCACCGCTGCAGACAAACTGGGGGCGGCTGGCGGGGGGGGGCCCAAGCCGAGTGCAGAAGTCGCTCGCCGTGGGCTGGAATCAAGGGAGGTCGCCGGGGTCACGGCACCTCGCCAGAGTCCTCCGCTCAGAGGGCCCCCCTAGTCAAGCGCTCGCGACCACAACGTGCCCCCCCCCCCCCCAGTCGGCACTGCTACTCCCTACCATTATTATTGTTGTTGTTGTTGTTACTGTTGTTGATGTTGTACGGGGCGAACAAGCGTGAGGGTCGCGTTCTGGGCCAGCCGGTGCAACCTCCAGGCACGGCGGTCGGAACGGCGCAGGTCAAGGTGGAGCAGTTCAAGGTGGAGCAGGTCAAGGTGGTGAAGTTCAAGGTGGAGCAGGTCAAGGTGGAGCAGCAGGTCAAGGTGGAGCAGGTCAAGGTGGAGCAGGTCAAGGTGGAGCAGCAGGTCAATGTGGTGCAGGTCAAGGCGGAGCAGGTCAAGGCGGTGCAGGTCAAGGCGGAGCAGGTCAAGGCGGAGCAGGTCAAGGCGGTGCAGGTCAAGGCGGAGCAGGTCAAGGCGGAGCAGGTCAAGGCGGAGCAGGTCAAGGCGGTGCAGGTCAAGGCGGAGCAGGTCAAGGTGGAGCAGCAGGTCAATGTGGTGCAGGTCAAGGCGGAGCAGGTCAAGGCGGAGCAGGTCAAGGCGGAGCAGGTCAAGGCGGAGCAGGTCAAGGCGGTGCAGGTCAAGGCGGAGCAGGTCAAGGCGGAGCAGGTCAAGGCGGAGCAGGTCAAGGCGGAGCAGGTCAAGGCGGTGCAGGTCAAGGCGGTGCAGGTCAAGGCGGAGCAGGTCAAGGCGGTGCAGGTCAAGGCGGAGCAGGTCAAGGCGGAGCAGGTCAAGGCGGAGCAGATCAAGGTGGAGCAGGTCAAGGCGGAGCAGGTCAAGGCGGAGCAGGTCAAGGCGGAGCAGGTCAAGGCGGAGCAGATCAAGGCGGAGCAGGTCAAGGCGGAGCAGATCAAGGCGGAGCAGGTCAAGGCGGAGCAGGTCAAGGCGGTGCAGGTCAAGGCGGAGCAGGTCAAGGCGGAGCAGGTCAAGGCGGAGCAGGTCAAGGCGGAGCAGATCAAGGTGGAGCAGGTCAAGGCGGAGCAGGTCAAGGCAGAGCAGGTCAAGGCGGAGCAGGTCAAGGCGGAGCAGGTCAAGGCGGAGCAGGTCAAGGCGGAGCAGGTCAAGGCGGAGCAGGTCAAGGCGGAGCAGGTCAAGGTGGAGCAGGTCAAGGCGGAGCAGGTTAAGGCGGAGCAGGTCAAGGTGGAGCAGGTCAAGGTGGAGCAGGTCAAGGCGGAGCAGGTTAAGGCGGAGCAGGTTAAGGCGGAGCAGGTCAAGGTGGAGCAGGTCAAGGTGGTGCAGGTCAAGGTGGAGCAGGTCAAGGTGGTGCAGGTCGAGACAGTGATGGTCAAGGGCGCAGGTCAAGATGGCAAAGGTCAAGGGCGCAGATCAAGGCAGCGTAGGTCAAGGAGCGCAGGTCAATGGGCGCAGGTCGTGACGGCGCATGCCACGGGCGCCGTTTGGCGGCGACAAAATCCGCCACGTCACCTTGAAGAAGTAGTAGAAGGGGAACCAGTAGAGGACGAGGTCGGAGAAGAACTCCCCGACGCAGAAGAGTCCGTAGACCACCCAGTAGGTGAGCCACTTGGTGTCGTCCTCCTTGCTGGAGCTCTCGATCGCCGCGATCCTGCGGGAGCCACGCACGGGGTCACGCACGGGGTCACGCACGGGGTCACGCACGGGGTCACGCACGGGGTCACGCACGGGGTCACATCCTCGTCACGACCCACCCCCTCCACACACGCACGGGGTCACGTCCTCGTTACCCACCCCGCCCCCCACACACAAACGCATGGGGTAACATCATCATAACCCCCCCCCCCCCCCCCGGACGGGGTAACATCATTACCCCCGTGTGAATTTTGCTAGACGCCGCAGGAGGAGGCGCCACAGCACCAACTCCACGTGTCCCACGGCTCCCCAGAGACTCCTCGACTTACGAACATTCGGACCGAGAGTCGCAAGTTCAACCACTGCGCAATAGATGGTGGTGGTGGCATCTACATCTGCAGAACGTGAAGAGCCAGTGGCATCTACATCTGCAGAACGTGAAGAACCAGTAGCATCTACATCTGCAGAACGTGAAGAGCCAGTGGCATCTACATCTGCAGAACGTGAAGAACCAGTGGCATCTACATCTGCAGAACGTGAAGAACCAGTGGCATCTACATCTGCAGAACGTGAAGAACCAGTGGCATCTACATCTGCAGAACGTGAAGAGCCAGTAGCATCTACATCTGCAGAACGTGAAGAGCCAGTGGCATCTACATTTGCAGAACGTGAAGAACCAGTGGCATCTACACCTGCAGAACGTGAAGAATCAGTGGCATCTACACCTGCAGAACGTGAAGAATCAGTGGCATCTACATCTGCAGAACGTGAAGAACCAGTAGCATCTACATCTGCAGAACGTGAAGAGCCAGTGGCATCTACATTTGCAGAACGTGAAGAACCAGTGACATCTACATCTGCAGAACGTGAAGAGCCAGTGGCATCTACATCTGCAGAACGTGAAGAACCAGTGGCATCTACATCTGCAGAACGTGAAGAACCAGTAGCATCTACATCTGCAGAACGTGAAGAGCCAGTGGCATCTACATCTGCAGAACGTGAAGAACCAGTGGCATCTACATCTGCAGAACGTGAAGAACCAGTGGCATCTACATCTGCAGAACGTGAAGAACCAGTGGCATCTACATCTGCAGAACGTGAAGAACCAGTGGCATCTACATCTGCAGAACGTGAAGAGCCAGTGGCATCTGCATCTGCAGAACGTGAAGAACCAGTGGCATCTACACCTGCAGAACGTGAAGAATCAGTGGCATCTACATCTGCAGAACGTGATAAATCAGTGGCATCTACATCTGCAGAACGTGAAGAACCAGTAGCATCTACATCTGCAGAACGTGAAGAGCCAGTGGCATCTACATCTGCAGAACGTGAAGAACCAGTGGCATCTACATCTGCAGAACGTGAAGAACCAGTGGCATCTACATCTGCAGAACGTGAAGAACCAGTGGCATCTACATCTGCAGAACGTGAAGAACCAGTGACATCTACATCTGCAAAACGTGAAGAACCAGTGGCATCTACATTTGCAGAACGTGAAGAACCAGTGGCATCTACATCTGCAGAACGTGAAGACCCAGTGGCATCTACATCTGCAGAACGTGAAGAACCAGTGGCATCTACATCTACAGAACATGAAGAGCCAGTGGCATCTACATCTGCAGAACGTGAAGAACCAGTGGCATCTACATCTGCAGAACGTGAAGAGCCAGTGGCATCTACATCTACAGAACGTGAAGAGCCAGTGGCATCTACATCTGCAGAACGTGAAGAACCAGCTGCATTTACATCTGCAGAACGTGAAGAGCCAGTGGCATCTACGTCTGCAGAACGTGAAGAGCCAGTGGCATCTACGTCTGCAGAACGTGAAGAACCAGCGGCATCTACATCTACAGAACGTGAAGAACCAGTGGCATCTACATCTGCAGAACGTGAAGAACCAGCGGCATCTACATCTACAGAACGTGAAGAACCAGTGGCATCTACATCTACAGAACGTGAAGAACCAGTGGCATCTACATCAGCAGAACGTGAAGAGCCAGTGGCATCTACATCTACAGAACGTGAAGAACCAGTGGCATCTACATCAGCAGAACGTGAAGAGCCAGTGGCATCTACATCTACAGAACGTGAAGAACCAGTGACATCTACATCTGCAGAACGTGAAGAACCAGTGGCATCTACATCAGCAGAACGTGAAGAGCCAGTGGCATCTACATCTACAGAACGTGAAGAACCAGTGGCATCTACATCAGCAGAACGTGAAGAGCCAGTGGCATCTACATCTACAGAACGTGAAGAACCAGTGGCATCTACATCTACATAACGTGAAGAACCAGTGGCATCTACATCAGCAGAACGTGAAGAGCCAGTGGCATCTACATCTACAGAACGTGAAGAACCAGTGGCATCTACATCAGCAAAACGTGAAGAGCCAGTGGCATCTACATCTACAGAACGTGAAGAACCAGTGGCATCTACATCTGTAAAACGTGAATAACCAGTGGCATCTACATCTACAGAACGTGAAGAACCAGTGGCATCTACATCTACAGAACGTGAAGAACCAGTGGCATCTACATCTACAGAACGTGAAGAACCAGTGGCATCTACATCTGCAGAACGTGAAGCACCAGTGGCATCTACATCTGCAAAACGTGAAGAACCAGTGGCATCTACATCTGCAAAACGTGAAGAACCAGTGGCATCTACATCTGTAGAACATGAAGAACCAGTGGCATCTATATCTACAGAACGCGAAGAACCAGTGGCATCTACATCTGTAGAACATGAAGAACCAGTGGCATCTACAGAACGTGAAGAACCAGTGGCATCTACATCTACAGAACGTGAAGTACTAATGGCATCTACATCTACAGAACGTGAAGAACAAGTGGCATCTACATCTGCAGAACGTGAAGAACCAGTGGCATCTACATCTGCAGAACGTGAAGAACCAGTGGCATCTACATCTGCAGAATGTGAAGAACCAGCGGCATCTACATCTGCAGAACGTGAAGAACCAGTGGCATCTACATCTACAGGAGGTTATACAACGTTTAAAGCCATTCCCCGTGTTTAGTGTACACGCCGTACAACACGTTTGGAATCGACAGAAGTAAAGTTGCACTTACGAACAAATCGACTTAAGAACAGACCTCTGGAACCTAACTCATTCGTAAGTAGCGGAATCCCTGTATGGGGATAGAGTGTTTCTCCCTCGCACGCCTGGGTTTTTGCCGGGCGCTCCGGTTACCTCCCACGGGTAAGTACTCATCAATCAGCCAACAACACCTTCATACAGAGAGAAACTGGGGTGGGGCAGTGGCAAGATGTTAACCACCTCGCCTGGTACGGAGGAGGTTGTGGGTTTGATCCTTACCCTGACGCCTGTTGTCTATTTTAAGTTTGCATGTCTCTCTCCCCATGGTTGCGTGTATTTTTCTCCGGGTCCTCCGCGTGTGTAAAAGCGTGAGGGTTAACCATGCCGCTGTGGCTATGGTTTGGCAGGGATGGTTGGTAGCGTGTGTGAAAGTGTGATGGTTAACCGTGCCGCTGTTATGATGTGGCAGGGATGGTTGGTAGCGTGTGTGAAAGCGTCAGGGTTAACCGTGCCGCTGTGGCTATGATTTGGCAGGGGTGGTTGGTAGTGTGTGTGGAAGCATGACGGTTAACCGTGCCGCTGTTATGATGTGGCAGGGATGGTTGGTAGCGTGTGTGAAAGCGTCAGGGTTAACCGTGCCACTGTTATGGTGTGGCAGGGATGGTTGGTAGTGTGTGTGAAAGCGTCAGGGTTAACCGCGCCGCTGTGGTTATGGTGTGGCAGGAGTGGTTGGTAGCGTGTGTGCAAACCCAATATATCCCTGGCCCTCTCGAATAAGACGCCTATTGGCTCCCTGATAAAGCCCTGCGGGCTCTCTCTTAGCGTACAAAACGTTTTCTTTGTATTCTTGCGAGAGATGCACGGCGTATCAAAGAACCCGCGGGGGGCACTGCCGCCACGTGCATTGTCCAGCCCTGCAGATCCTCGCACGCGGAAATTATTTTTTAGAATGCCACATTCAAGTATGCCGAACTTCTTTCACGCCGTACGTTGCCAACCGTGTTCATCGGATGTGCGGGGGAAGGACAAGAAAACTAAACGCAAACAGCAGTCGCAAAGAAATGAGTTTGTCCATCTAGATGATTGCATCGCTGCAGTGGCTTCGTAATATCGGAAAGAAGAGCATTCCAGACGGCCGCAAAAGCGCCAACTGAAAGCGCCGCGCATTTGTTCGATGGTTAGCCAAAGGCCGTTGCTGCGGGGGACGACCGGAGTTTGCGTGAAGGTCTACGCCTCCTTGACGAGATGAGTCGCGGGTTCTTTTGTGGCACCCTCCTGGCGTGCGTAGCGAGCGCAACCCCATGACAACAACATTCGTTCTTGGCAAACAGGAGGCCAATGCGGCTCGGCGAGCACCGGGACGGACGCGGTCAGGATCTCGCGGTAGTGAACCAGGCCACGTTGCTTCCGGCAGCGAAAGCCCCCTCCGTCGTCGGCAAACTTGTCCAGGCGTGGGGGAGTGCTGCCTCCGTAATGAGGGTGTTCCGTCGCTCCGGGGAAGAACTGTGCACGTGACCGCGCAAATTGGCGCGTGCGAATTATACCCGGCCGTCGCCAGCAACGGTGATGACGAGCGACACTCGCGTTCCCGCGTCCCGCCGCCTCCACCAAACCCGCACCGGGGCTCAGCGTGCCCAAGTTGTGGACAACAAACAACGCGACGCGCGACACGACGCCGTTGCCGGGGGGGGGGGGGGGCAGGTAGGAGGGGGCGGCCTTCGACCAACAGCGGATTGACAATGGGCTGGAAATTCAATTGGAATGAGCAGCGGCAATCGGTGGTCGGTGTGACGAGTGGGAAGGGAACGACTGAGTGTGTGAGTGTGTGCGGTGGGCACACCTACGGGCAGTCTGCCCCACGGGATCGTGATGACGACGACGACGACGACGACGACGACGCAGACTTGAATCTGCCGACGTGTGGCGGTTGGCGCGCCACGCTACCAACCTGGCAACCAGTTGGATTCCCGCTCACGGCCACCACCGGTGAAACCATTATCGCAAGCAGTCCTGGACCTCCCCCCTAGGTCGACTCAGCCTCAAATGCATACCTGGTGTGGTGTGTAAACATCGCACGTGCATGCCACCCACGTGCATGGCATGCACATGCGTGGCATGCACGTGCGTGCGTGGCATGCACGTGCATGCGTGGCATGCACATGCGTGGCATGGCATGCACGTGCGTGCGTGGCATGCACGTGCGTGCGTGGCATGCACGTGCGTGCGTGGCATGCACGTGCGTGCGTGGCATGCACGTGCGTGGCATGGCATGCACGTGCGTGCGTGGCATGCACGTGCGTGCGTGGCATGCACGTGCGTGCGTTGAACGTGTTCCCGCGCCGCACGTTGTTAGCCAACCGTGGCTGATCGGAGGTGCGCGGGGGGGGGGGGCAAAAGACCACAAACTAAACACAAAAATCAGGCTCTAAATAAATGAGTTTTAACTTCAGTGTAGTGGTGTGTAGTGTATAGTAGTGTACAGTGTAGTGTGTATCGTAGTGTATAGTTTAGTGTATAGTGTAGTGTATAGTGTAGTGTATATATGTTAAACTTCTTTCGCACCGTACGTAGCCGACTGTGCTAATCGGAGGTGCAGGGGAAGGACAACAAACTAAACACAAAAAGCAGTTCTACAGAAATGCGTTTTCAATTTCGAGTTAAAAGTGCGCATAGTTTCAGTGCCTTCATGTCTCGCTGTTTAGAACACTGCCAAAATCAAATCTCCGGCCAAAAACCACGAATTCATTGTAGCCGACAAAAATAAGCAGCACTCCGCGAGACTTAAACAATGATTCACTCCATGCAGAAGAGATTCAACACCCCCCCCCCGCATGAACATTGGACGAAATGTTCAGCTCCCTGCGATTCAACGGATTGTCACCGACCCGCCTACCCCACCAGCTCCCCCGTACGAAGACGCAAACTTCCTCTTCAAAAGGACGCGTCATCACGTTCTATGTTTTGTTGTTGTATTCATTCATTCCCACCCCATGAGCGCTGGCGCCCGCACCGCCCGTCTCGTCCCCAGCTGCGCGTCCGCTCGCGACCACCGCGGCCTCTGTGCGCGCGACTCTTCACGAAATGTGAAAATGTGAAGTTTGTTTAACGTGTAGGCTTTCACGACGGCCGATATCATCCATAATAAATAGTTGTTGTCATTTGTACGCATTCAATAATCCCCCCCACCTCGTCCCGACTTTGCTCAAGAAGGGCTCACAAGTGACGCCGTCACACCTACCCCTCTATTTAAGGAACGAGACAGGAGGATTTCTCCACAATTCTGGCTGTCGCCTGATCATTCCGGTTGTAATTGTTGGCGAAACGTCGTGCTCAGATTGTAAATGTTGTGGCTTGGCTCTCCAACACACCGGCGTGCTGTACTAGTACACTATACACTACTATACACTACACTACACACTACACTACACACTACACACTAGTGCTGTACTAGTAACGAATTGGCCACGTTCTGTTTACTTGACAAACCTTTACTAGTTGGCTGCGTCGGGTGGTGGCGGGTTTAACGATACATTTGTATATTGACGCGACATGTATTATGAGTATTATGGATATTACACTTGTACACGCGCAACTTGATGCAAATCTCGTGAGTGGCAGAATCTGTGTTCACGGTAGGAGTTGTTTTGGCATAGGTCGTGTGAATATAAATGTGTCGTCATCACTGTCAAGCCCTTATCAGTGCCCTGCCTGATTACAGACCAATTCAGACCGTATCGGTCATCCCGTGCCCTTATAAATCCCAACGTTCATCCCACAAAGTCCCATCACAAGGGAGAAACACAAACAGACATTATTTTCTTTTGTGCCCGTATTGAAACGGCTGTATGCCGTATGGACCTGAAAATTCTACTTCGCTGTACAAGAACACGGGGTAAACCGTACGAGTTGGCAGCGATGTGTCGTACACACACCTCCGCCAATTAGCTTGTTTTGTGAACAACAGGTGCTAATTAGTTAGCACCTTAGCACACTGGGCTTGTGTGTTGGAGAGCAAACCCACGGTGGCAGGAAGTCGAGGGTTCGATCCGGACCCTGACGCCTGTATATTTGGCGATTGCGTGTCTCTCTCCCCATGAAGATGATCCATTTCATGGAGCTATCATTTGTGGCCAGATTGCGTCTGAAAAAAACGAGCTGTATAGCTCAGTGGGCCTTACCTGGTAAAGTAAAAAAAAAGTTTAGTGTAATTTTGAACGTGAGCACCATGTTTGACTGGTGATTACAACCAGCATCATCAGGTGAATGCCACAGTGAGTGCGAAAGCCTACGCGTTAAACAGACTAAGCGTCCGCGCCTTGCGTGCGCGTTTGTTGCACACTACGGAGAGCGCCCCCCCCCCCCCCCTACTGCGCGCGGACTGATCGCGGCCCCACGACGGCGCTGTGGGTGGCGCTGTGGGTGGCGCTGTGGGTGGCGCTGTGGGTGGCGCTGCGGGTGGCGCTGCGGGTGGCGCTGCGGGTGGCGCTGTGGGTGGCGCTGTGGGTGGCGCTGCGTGTGGCTCTGTGGGTGGCGCTGCGGGTGGCGCTGTGAGTGGCGCTGCGGGTGGCGCTGCGTGTGGCTCTGTGGGTGGCGCTGTGGGTGGCGCTGTGGGTGGCGCTGTGGGTGGCGCTGTGGGTGGCGCTGCATGTGGCTCTGTGGGTGGCGCTGTGGGTGGCGCTGTGGGTGGCGCTGTGGGTGGCGCTGTGGGCGGCGCTGCGGGCGGCGCTGTGGGTGGCGCTGTGGGTGGCGCTGTGGGTGGCGCTGTGGGTGGCGCTGTGGGTGGCGTTGCGTGCGGCGCTGTGGGTGGCGCTGTGGGTGGCGCTGTGGGTGGCGCTGTGGGTGGCGCTGCGTGCGGCGCTGTGGGTGGCGCTGTGGGCGGCGCTGTGGGTGGCGCTGCGTGCGGCGCTGTGGGTGGCGCTGTGGGTGGCGCTGTGGGTGGCTCTGTGGGTGGCGCTGTGGGCGGCGCTGTGGGTGGCGCTGTGGGTGGCGCTGCGGGTGGCGCTGTGGGCGGCGCTGTGGGCGGCGCTGTGGGTGGCGCTGTGGGTGGCGCTGTGGGTGGCGCTGTGGGTGGCGCTGCGTGCGGCGCTGTGGGTGGCGCTGCGGGTGGCGCTGTGGGCGGCGCTGTGGGTGGCGCTGTGGGTGGCGCTGTGGGTGGCGCTGCGTGCGGCGCTGTGGGCGGTGCTGTGGGCGGCGCTGTGTGCGGCCGTGCAGACTCACGAGCGGTAGGCGGGGTAGCAGAAGCCCACGAGGTTGCACAGCAGCGACGCTCCGTAGCCGACGGCGAGGTACATCGCGATGACGGCAGCGAAGCCTGTGGAGAGACACGCACGGCGGTGGTTAGAAACGCAGCCACCACCACCACCACGAGCAGCGGAGGTTTCCTGAGTGGTAGGGTGAGAAGGGTGGAGTGTGCAGGAGGTCGTGGGTTCGATCCGGACCCTGACACCTGCATATGTGAAGTTTGCTCGTCTCTCTCTCGCCAAACCCTCCACCACCTGACACGGCCAAGCGAATGAAACTGCCCCGCGTGGCGTGCGAACGTTTAACAACGCGGCGATGGTGGTCGTTCCGGCCCGCTCAGCCGATGGAGTCGAGGGAGAATTCTCACAGCCAGGCCTAGCAGCAGTTGGGACACGTGACAAATCACTTGGCACCGTGACAAGCGTCGTCAGGACGAGATCTGGGAAGTCAGAACATTCAGACTTCCTGGAACCCGAAAAGGAACATTGTTAATTAACGCTTCCTGTATTCTTGTGCCCGGTGTATGTTGCCCAGGGCGTATCGCGATTGAATGTCTTGGTTGGTCTGCAATCACTTTCGTTTGGAGGCGATTCTCTCAGCCTCAAGATGCACTAGTGCATGCGAGGAGGGGGTATGACAACCACATGGTGTGAACGTGAGATCCCGACCCTCAACATTAAACTAAAGACTACTTTTTATTTTACCAGGTAAGGCCTACCGAGCTATATCGCTCTTTTTCATAAGCGACCTGGCCACAAATGATAGCTCAACGAAGTCGCTTATCACGTGGACATTCATAGTAGCCAAATACTCTTAATGCATGTTTCTAAATGTGGAGGGGGAAAAACCGGAGGACCCGGAGAAAAATCCACATGACCACGGGGAGAGAGATAGACGCAAACTTCAAATACACAACAGGCATCAGGGTCGGGATCAAACAGACAACCTCCTGCATACCAGGTGAGGTAGTTAACATCTCCTAGCCACTGTGATGATGATGAGAGAGAGACGCAAACTCCAAATATGCAGCAGGCATTGTCAGGGTCGGGATCAAACCGACGACCTCCTGTATACCAGGCGAGGTAGTTAACATCTCCTAGCCACTGTGATGATGATGAGAGAGAGACGCAAACTCCAAATATGCAGCAGGCATCGTCAGGGTCGGGATCGAACCGACGACCTCCTGTACACCAGGCGAGGTAGTTAACATCTCCTACCGTGGCTTTGCTCTCACACACAAGCGGTATGCTAGAGTAGTAGCGAACCTTGCACGTGACACACATTACTAATTGGTGGAGGTGGGTGTACGGCCGTCGCAGAATCTACGCAAGTCCACGGGCTCTCTGTGCGAGGCTCAGAAGCGCCGCGCGAGTCCACATCTGAGAACCACCGAGCACTGTTAACTTGCGCGTGCGAATCCACACCCCAAAGACCACCGCCGCTGCGGCGCAGACTGCAGATTTCGGCAAAACCAGACTGCTGATTCGGCAAAACCAGTACAGTGCAAACCGATCTTCCTGACCAGCAGCAGCAAGCAGGCTTAACGCAGCCCTTTATTGTAAGGGCTGTGGGTTGGTGGGTTATGGGGAGAGGGGGGCGGAAGGACGCACAACCCGCTTGCATAACCCGCGTTGCTTCACGCTGAACAGCTCACGTGGCCAGCGGGCTCGTGGAGATTAAAGATTTTTTAAAGGGACGGCGTAACCGCGGGCTACGGCGACACGAAGGGGAAGGGGGGTTCGGAGGAAGTGGCCGCCACTCGTCGTGCAAGCGGCCGCTATCTCGAGATGCGGCGGCTTTCGGAGGCCAGGGTTGGCGGGTCGCGCAGAGATCCGCGAAGCTCCCGAACCCGCCCGCGTGGGATGCCGAGCAAAGGTTTTGGCCAGGAGGTGGCGGTGGCATGCGCGAGCGGGTTCACGAAGCCATCGTGTTGTGGACTTTTTGGCGGTTAAAATCTATTCTGCCCAATGTCAATCCACCAATGGATGAAGAGGCCTCCCCACAACATGTCGGCCACTTGGGATTTCTTGGCCAAACTTCACCGTGCAGGTCGATGCGTGCCGACCAATGAGGCGGGAGAGGAGGGAGAGGAGGGAGAGGAGGGAGAGGAGGGAGAGGAGGGCAAGACTGGCTCTGATATTGCTCGTCACGGATGCTGGGCGCTGTTAGCGACTGAAGTCTAGAGGTCAAAGTTCACAGCGGGTACCCACTCCAACCCACCCATCACCCCCCCTCCACCACCCCCCCTCCAACACCCCCCCTCCACCACCACCACCTTTCGATTCTTAGGGTTTTCTCTGGACACTCCGGTCTCGTCGCACACTTTTACAAAAAGAGACAAAAAAAATCCCACAGCGGGATCCTCGCGAATGATAACCCCGAAAGGCCAGCGAGGCGTCCAAAACAAACGACATCATCATCACCATTATTATTGCCAATGTTTTTGTTGTTGGTGTTGTTGGTGTTGTTATAAAAATACAAATATAAATAGCATGGGCTCGGTCGAACGCGATGGGTGTCACGAGACTTTTGTCAAACGTAGCCGTGGGGTCGTGGGGCGAGCGGTCGTGGCAACGACACCCATCGCGAGGGAGACCTTTGAACCCGGCGGCAACGACGACAAAAATTAAACATTTACCCGCGCGGGGACAGTGGGTGGCACGCGGTCTGAACGTGCGGCGTTGCCGCTTACACGCGAGCCAGCCCCCGGCAGTGTCGGCGGGGGGAGCTTTGGGTGGGGGGGGGGGGGAGCCCCCCCTGAACCTGCAGGAATTTTTTCTCTTTTGACAAAAAGAGAAAACAGCCGACTGTACCTCGTGGCGGTCGTGGGTCAGATCATTTTGAAGCGGGGGTGCATGGCAGCTTAGTGACGGACGCTGTGCCTCCTTTCGTACGACAAACTACAACTTCACAATCCAGGTGGTCAAGCCAGACAACAAGCGCATCGGGAGCAGCGGACTGCCTAATCGCCCGCGATGTCTCCTTCACATTTGTGGATCGGGCGTCGTTGTACGCTGTACCAACTTCTCCTGGATGACCACAGTCGCACACCGCTACTGGGGAGTTTGTCTGCAATGTTACATTTGTGCATCAGGGTGTCCCCGCATCGACTGCCCTGGTCTGCGCAGTGGATGCGCTTCAGGGTGCACCCTGAGCTTCGTGGAAGCTCAAACCTAGCGGGATCTGCTGTGCACCCCGTCAGACCGAAGACTCACACTTCCCCCTCTCTCTCCTTGCCGTCGGGTAGCTTTGTTGCAATCGCGCTGCATTTCCTGAAGAAGCTCCCAGCACGTGGAGCGGAACGTCAGACACCACCAAGTGAAACGACAGACACATTGGAGGCTGGACTGTGTCCGCTACCTCACCACTGCACACTTGGGAATCACGTTTAATTAACAGGTGGCTGAAACCAGCACTCTGACCCTTAAAAGTCCAAAAAACACAGACCTGATATTTCACTTGTCATGCGAAATAGCGTGGGTTGTTCCCAATTTCCCTGCGTGGCAAATGACCGCGAAAACCACGTGCGATAACCGCCCGAGGCGAGCGGGCTATGGGGCGATTCGTACTCGCGGGCCTTGTTCAAATCGGCGCTCGATGGAAGCGTTGTTGCCTTGGGCGATCCAACATCGGCTCTGGCCCACGAACCAAAGAGCCGAAGTGGTCTCTTGCCAATGCCAGCGGATGCTCGCACATCTCGAAAAAACTCAGCTGCGGACACCGTGAGGGTGGGCCGGCTTTTCTCGCGGGCATGATGAGGTGGCTCAACACGGATCAGGGATAAGCGTGAGACCCCAGCCAACCCAATCCCCCCCACCCCCCTACTGTGAACCCACTGACTAATCCCGTGTTGCCGGCAGACTTTCATTCCGCAAGGTCACAACGTCTTAGGGCGCCACAGTGGCGAGATGTTAACTACCTCGCCTGGTATACAGGGGGCCGTGGGCTCGATCCAGACCCTGACGCCTGCTGCTGTATATTTAGAATTTGGGTGTCTCTCTCTCTCTCATCATCATCACGGTGGCTAGGAGATGTTAACTACCTCGCGTGGTACACAGGAGGTCGTGGGCTCGATCCCGACCCTTACGATGCCTGCTGTATATTTGGAGTTTGCGTGCCTCGGTCTCCCAGTGGTCGCGTGGTATTTTCTCCGGTCCCTCCAGTTTTTCCCCTCTACATTTAGAATCAACATCACGCGTTCGGACTAATTTGGTTGTCACAAATTTCCGGGTGATGAGGCACTTTGTTCAGCAATCATGCTATGACCAGGTAGCTTCTGAAAAAGAGATCAATAGCTCAGTGGGCCTTACCAAGTAAAAATATAAATTTCAAAATAAAATAGTTTAAAGCGGCCTTGGCAGGACATTTACTGTAAAACACACTTGAAAGAATGCCCTGCACACCACCTTGTCTCGTGCGTGTGGGTTCGTTTTCCTCTCCATCTGACGATGCGTCAGACAGAACGAAGCGGAATACAAAACCCCAAAAACTGTGCGGAGAAGCGTCGAGTGGGCGCATGCTTGCAATCACATCGGCAAAAGGCAGTCGGCATAAGACGTGGGGGCGTAAAAATTGCACGCGGGTGCCACGGAGGATTTTTACCGCACTGGCCCTGCAACAGCCTATAGCACCTGGTAGGCATGGCGGTGGCCCACTCTTAGTATTATCCCAGGCTCAAAAAACCGCTTCGCTTCAAGAGATCTGACGAGAAGCACGCTCAGCAAATCGTCGTGGGCACAACGAAGTGACCAGCTTGCGAAATTCTTCTCCCCGGCGGTGTCGTTTTACCGACGGTGAAATTTCACCATCGCTGCTACCCGAGCAATGTTGCCCGACAAGCCGTGTCACGCGTGTCTCAAGCAACCTCGGACGTAAAAATAGCCAACCCCTGCCAGCGACCCACAAATTCAAATCCCCGGTACATTCCCGTTCTCATGTAACGCGGCGGTAGTTGCGTTCCTCAAGAACACCGCGTGATTGATATATAATTCGCGTTATAATAAACGATAGATAACACAGGAGGCGGCGCACAGTGCGCGCTAACTCGTGAGACACGCACGCAGGCCGGACAAAGTCCGAGGCGCGTGGGGGTAGCGTCTAGAAGCATCCGCCAGAATCCCGCCACGTGTAACGCTACGTCGAGGCAGCCGAACGACCGCTTAATCCTACCTCGGGCGACGGAGTTCCGTTCGCTCGATCACGTCAAATCCAAATCGCATCCGCGACCTCCATCACATTCATCGCGTTATATCAAATCCGCGTCGTGAAAACAACACGTCACGGGAGAAAAGACTGCACTGCCACGAGTATCGTGAACGTGCGCGCGTACGTACGTACGTGCGTGCGTAAGCGCGCGTCTGCGGCTCAGAAATGGCCCATCACCGTCGGCCACGGTCTGCCCGCTGCTGGACGATGAGCTCGGCAGGCCGCCGGCCATCTCTCTCTCGTGCAAATCTGCCGTGCGACATTCCACCCGGGC